TCTGTTTAGTTCAATTATGTATTTGCATAGAGTGGATCATCCAATGAGACATGACCTGATCGGCTATGGCTACTGAACATCATCATCAACAAATGGATTCTATGCATCCTTCCAATGCTGATAGTATCGAAGGAAAGTGAATGATTCATTCTAGCAGTAGAAAAACTCATACTATATTATATATGACTGACGATTTAACAATATTGTCATCGTACAGAGCATTATTTGTAAGTAATGATTAATATTTTATTGATTACGTACCTAAAAATGATTTCTCACTAACATTATTTAAAATACCATTCCCTCTGTATATGTCAAAATTATTTTTACGAAGCTTAACAGAGATAAAGTTAACAAATAACAATAGTACAAATATGTACCATAAAGACAAGACGATTTAAGGATGCAGCTGTGTGTAATAAATGCATAATGTTTGACAGATTAATTAACTGTCCTGATATTGATTATAAAATAAACGCCCACCGAATGACACAGAGTAATGCTATTAACATACTCTATTTATTAAAAATTATATAAATTATGTAAACTTTATTCTTAAATTAATATTTTTTTAGTTTTTTAAAAAAATTAATTAATAATAAAAGTTTGTTGAAAAAAATATATTATTAACATTTTTATTCGTATTATTGTCTCAAAGATTCTTTATTGACAAAAAAAAAGTATATTACATTTATCTTTGCCTAGACTCTCATCCATTCATTCTTCAAATCAAAAGAATGAAATAGACGGAGGTTATAGTTTATCTATTAAAAAAATTATATATAATTTCTATTAGAAAATATAATTTACTATGACTCAATATATTTATATTATTAAATGTCAAATTTAGTAAAATATATTTATTATCTTTTTATCATACATAATATTACATAAATTTAAAAAATATTCATTTATTTATTATCTCTTATTTTGTGATTCTAAGTTATATCAATTTCGTTATTCATGTGAAATTGCGTACCCAACAGAACCCCCAACCTATGCACTTAAAAAGAAAAAATTGTGTGTTTTTGTATAATTATATCATGTTACTTATTAATATCAGAGGATTTAAATTTTTTTGAAATCCTGAATTATATTCGTGAAGTTGTTTCATTCATAAGGAATATGCTAAAACCAATTTAAGGGAATTTCAAAACTGATAAGCATGTTTCAGAATGAAAATTCTTGTTGTTTCTCACAGAATTGATGCCTGATATTGTATTATAATCGAGGGCAAATGTTATGATATGAGAAGTCATGTTAAATTAGGTAGTTATATCAAACTTGTTTTAAAAATGTTATGACATGAGATAATGGTGGAAATTATTTTTTAATATTTTTTAAAAAAACTTATTTATAAATTTTTTATGTGAATAAAATAAATTTAAAAAATTATATAAAAGGCTAAAAAATATTTAAACTTTATTTTTTGTTTTTCAAAAACAGTATTGGAATAAAAATCTTTATAAGAATTAAACATTTACAAGAAGTTTATATCATCATCCATTTCCTTTTTAGCAAAGGGGTTTTACATATTTTCACTTTGTCTCAATAACAACCTTTATTTCCCACTCCACTCCCAACAAATATAAACTCTTTGGCTCCATTTGTCCTTTGAGCTCTGAACTTGTGCATCAACACATTCATCAACCCTCATTGCAATCTCACTAAAGAAAGCAAAAGAGTGAGTGAATGCTCTGAGTTGATAGAAATTAAAGATGAGAAACTGAGGTGACTAAGAGAAAGAAGGACCAAGTGCTTTGAATCTCACATTGAAAACAGCTTGAAAGCATCTTTAACATGTTTTTGTTTTAAGCTTTTCAAAACCATATTTTTAGAAGTCATTTTCAAAACCAAAGATGAGATGAAAACAATTGTTATCAAGTAGGTTTTTTAGTTTACTTTTTCTATTTTTGAAAACAATGAGTTCTTGCAAAAACAATATTCAGACAAACCTTATAATTTTGTTTTACTTACCACAACTTCCACAAGTTGTTCTTTTTTCAACTTTAATAATAAAAAATGCCTCTTAAGGTGTTCTTTCTCGTCCAAATTCCGTTTGTAACGTTATTTATCATGTTCTTACTTGGTGATCACGAAGAGCTTGGATATAATAAGGTCATGGCCCTCTGATGGAGACCTTGAGAACCCACTAGCTTGTCCAAATTATTATTATTGATGATTAACTTAACCCTGAACCACATAGGATAAGCACTTTTCAACTGTAATATATAAAATAAAACTTATATGCAAAATTAAAGGAACAAAACCTTCTCAAAAGAATGAACATATGAGAAGATTATAAAATATCTTTATTTATATGATGATCGTGTGACCCTTGTATAAATAAATATACAATATATATCGTTTTCCTGAATAAATGAGAGGGGGATTGAGTCGTTCATGTTTACCCAATATTTGAGCATTACAAGCGATGAATGTGATTATTGAGGTTGAGGATGAAGATGACTGCCATGACGAGATGATCTGCAAAATAACAAAGAAAACGACCATGGTGATTGAGATGTGGCCCTTTGTTAATGGTTTTGATGAGCAATTATGAAAAGTTAGGATGAAATTGAAACATGGATGGTTTTCCATCATTTTAACATGGGTTAGATGAGAAAAACAAAACAACAAAAAAATGTAGCAAAAAGCTACATCTGGCATATAGTTATACTCATTTATGTTTAATTTTTTAAAAATACTTTTGGGTCCAGTTTATGTCTTTTAAATCAGCGTGCAAAGGTTTAGGGCCACAAGTTGCTTGGATTTGGAAATCACTTTGAAAATATAGGTCGATTTCTTTAATTTGGATTTGATCTCTTTAACTTTTTTTAGTCAATTCTTTTTTTTTTTTTACTTTTAAAATTAAGTAAATTTATGTCCTTAATCACTTTTCTATTTACAATTTTTTTCATCCAAATATTTGGAGGACCGGAATAGATTTATTATATGAACTAATTTTAAATGTCTAGAAGTCAAATATTTAATGAAATTTTGATAAGATTTGAAGGATTTTATAAGATGTGAGGTTAGGGTTTGAAAGAAATATTTTTTTTTATTTTAATTGATATTTTATTTTTGATCGATGAGTTTTGAAGAAAAAGAAAGTTTTAAAATGATTTAATCATTTTAATTTGTAAACATATTGAGTAGATAGAAGAACATCAACAAATGGACTAAATTTATTTAACTTTAAAAATAGAGGGACTTAATTAATTAAAGACAATAAAAAATATATATAGTCCAAATTAAAATAAAAAATACATGTAATTTTAGTTCACAAGTTTTTTTTTTTTGAGTAAATCAATTATCTCCATTTTTAGAGTTGAATGGTTTTGATTCTCTCATCATGTTTTTTCTATCTAAAACCAATAAAATATTTTTTTTATTTAAAATGTTGAGAATTTATGATGAATATGATATATGAAATAATTTTAAACTTTAAAGTAAAAATTAATATAAAATTTATAAAATTTAAAGGACTTATAAGTATGTGAGCTTAAGGTTTAAAGAGTTTTACAAATACGAAGGTTTTGAGTAAAAGAATATTATAATTTTAACTAGAAACATGTTACATGATAGAGGAATTCAATTATAGCAATTAAAAGTTGAGATTAAATTTGCTTAAAAAAGTAAAAAAAAATTACTCATTAATTATAATAAAGGAACTACGTTCAATTAAGTCTTGGGATTTTAATATCGACAAAGAAACAGTACTGATACAAAAAATATATTTCACAAATAATCCAATATATTTTATTATAACAAATTACATTTTATTCTCCATTTCATTTTCTAACATTCTAGTTTAAATCAATGTCCTTCAGCTAATCATACTTTTGTGCAACATTACTCGGCAAAAAAGAAAAATCAGAAAATATTTAACGACAATCGGTGGCTTCTTCTTCTTTTTTTTTAAAATCTATATGGATATGAAACAGGCATTGGGAAATGACCAAAAATAAAAGAATAAAACAAGCATTGGGTCAGTAATATTAACATATATTACTCAAGTACGAAATTATGGGCTTGGATGGAATATTACAATGGATTCTATGGTAGCCCAACAAAATGGTAAAAAAAAAAAAGAGGCTCGTAACGGAAATAATTTAAATTATTTATATTATTAAATAACATGATATAATCACGTTGAAAAAAAAATATTTTTTTACTAACTAAAGATCTATCATGATTAATTTCAGATCTACTGATTAGAATTGATAAAAAAAAATTCTTTCTTTAACGTAATGATATCATATTACTAAATAACATTAAACAACATGAAAATATCTAAATCCATGATTAATTATGCATGAAACTTAATATTTGGCGATGGTCAATAATATGGGCGAACAACAAAACAAAAAAGCTGCGATTATTTATTTTTTCTCCAATAGTGAGGATTAAAATTGGTTGAAAATTGGAAATTACTTCCTCTGTTTTTTTAAACAAATATTTTAGCAATTTTATTTTGTCCATTTTTCATTATCATTTTATAAAAAAATATTATCAATAAATAATATTTTTTACTAAAAATTGTGACATCTAAAGTTATAAATTTATTAAATCTTATATTATATCTACTATTTCTATTAAAATTTTACTATATTATATGTGTGTGTGTGTGTGTATTGTCCTTAGACTCGTTAAAAATATCGACAAGAAAGAAAGGGGTTACTTTCTTAAGCCATGGTTCCAGTATTGTGACAGTTGCTTCCGAATTATGTTCCCACATTTGATGTTATTAAGGTGTGATGATTAAAATCACTTTCATAAAGAAATAATTTCCTTCGTGGAAGTATCCCAAGATGTGCCAGTTGTATATACTGAAAACATGGTTTATTCCTTCAATGTCCCAGAGTCCATATATTAACATCTTTTTCAATATGAAACATCATCGTATGAAACACTTGGCAATACAGTATTGGTTTTGGATCTTTAAAGGGTTTGGCAACTTAGTCATAATGATATGAACACGGTTCTTTGAAGGAAAGCAATAGCATGCAATTATCTTGTTTGCAATAATCAAGTATCCCAACTTTGAACATGCACATAGCCTGAAGATAATCCAGCAAAATAATTTACAAATAGTTCTTGCTTTGACACCAAATTATCTGCACTTTAATTTTAGCAGCTTCATGGGAAATAATCATATCCATGAGGCCTTCTTAATGTTTGTACAAATTCTCTCTGCTAACCACCATTCGCCTGAAACCAAGGTTGACCAAACGTCGCCGCTAATTCCCGTTCAAATACAACAAACACTTCTGGCAGTACATGATATTGCTCACCAATCTTCTACAAGCTCCGGAATTAGAACAAGAACCCTTACCACCCGGTATATATGATAGCTAGTGTATGCTGTATATATTTTTCGCTGAATATTGGGATGAACTCGTGAGAACTAGTGTATGCTCTATGCCACGATACGAAAGATATGTGATGATCATTAGGTGGAGGAAAGACTGCCAAGTCCTTAAGGTCCATGCTCTAGTCTCTACCCATTCCAGGGGCTGAATTTACCAGTTCCCGATTGAATGCAGCAAGCCCCCCTCATGGGCGAAGTATAATTATTTTGAACGTCAAAAACTACCAAAATAGAAAATAGTGCTAAAGAAAGGAAGTCCATCAACCATAGGACCTAAACTTAGTGGCAAGTAGAAAAGCTGATTTCGCGTTTTGGGCAGTATACAAACATCAACATCATAGCTCAAGTGGTATAGTTAGGGAGGACATAAGCTTTCAGATGCAGATTCGATTCTGCAATCCAGAAAAATACCACCCTTTCCTCTCTCCCAGTCGCCCCTCCCCTCGACCAACAAAAATAACAATCAAGTTTTATTTCATTTGATAAAGTCAGCTACATGGATTATAGTAGGCAGTTAAACTTCGTAATAAATCAAATTCTCCCCTCCTTGTACCAAAAGAAAAAAAAAATCAACATCATGAAACCCCAATGATAAACTCAAATACAGATTATCCAAATTTAAGGGAATCAAAATATGAAAATAAATATATATCTATGTGCTAGTTAACATTTCCAATATTATAGTTAAACAACAGAAAAAAGGTTTAATAAGATGCTCACAAAACTAAGAAAGAAACTCGTAGCATTCAAGTAATATTATGGGTCGTCAAACAAGGTTCATCGACAGCACAAGGTGAGTAATCCTTTGGATTGCCGGGTCAACATACACCTTGGCAATATTTGTGAAGATTCATATCTCTCAGATCCAGTTATTAGTTTGTCAATATGCATCTTCTGCGCAGGTGGCAATATGAAGAAAATTTTTTTTTCTTCCGTGTCCTAGAAAATTCTCGCATATTCCATTGACTCAGATTTTTTGACATTCTTAGTCATAAATTTATAAAGAATGGACAATGGCTGCTCAGAATGACATCATTGTAAGAAATATAAAATAAGATAAGACGGAGAGAAACAAAAAAATGGTGTTGTTCAAGAGTGTTTTATAAATAATATAACTTCTAACCCCTACCTAATCAAATTGTTAATTGTCTTCACATACGGCCAAAAACAGTATGTGGAGAGAATATCATTTGAGGGTTACATGGGATGCCCCGTTTTCACTTCCAGAGGCTGTAGCAGTAGTATTAATGTGTATGACAATCCAACGGGCCAGGGAGGTTTATTCCTTAACCCCACACCCATGCCCAAAGTTTCGAAAAACTGAATGAAAAACACTTTCGATCTAAATATTTATGGGTTGAATTGGTCAGTATAAAAGGAATAAAAATTGCAATCAGAATGGCAAGTCTAAATGGGAAATCAGTCAGCAAATTAACAAATCCTTTGGAATCAGGTATCGTTCTTTTACAGTTGAATTGGTTAGAACTTACCTTTTCTCTACCTCATCAGTTTCCACTTTCCAGTCCAATTGAATAGTCATAGCATAATATAGCCCTCGAGTCCCGAGTCTTCGCTGAAAGTGCTTCGCCACCATATTCGAAAAACGCCATAGGTGACTATTTCATATCCCTCTCCATCCTCTCATTTTCAATGTCCCACCTTCCTCGTCACACTCACACCCCAACCAACAAGCATGCCACACATATATTTATCAATAACAACAACAATAATATAATCTAAACAAAGAGGGTAAGAAGCATCAAACACCCTCCTTCCAACAAGTACCCTTATTTCTCCAACAAATTTGACACCTCAAAGGTCCAAAGCCGGAACAGAAGAGAGGAATTCAGGTTAAGGTTCACCTCCACAGCATGGATAGGTTGGTGAAACCAGAAGCAAAGGAAGTGGAGCTGATCTACCAAAGGGGCCAAAAGTGCAGCTCCTCCTTCAAGCTCAGCAACCTCATGCACACCATGTCAGTGGCAGTGTCCCTAACCACCTCAAACCCTCTGTTCTCCATCAACAAACCCTTCTCCATAATTCCCCCACTCTCTTCTGCATCCTACACCCTCCAACTCTCTCACCCTTCTCACCAACCCCCTCTCTCCGACCCTCCCGACATCATCACCGTCCGAACCTCCATGCTCCCCACCGGCAAGGCCCACGCCGACGACCTCCGCCGCCTCTTCTCTAAACCCGGACCACACGTCTTCCGCGACGCCGTTATAACCGTTTCCCTCATCGGCCCTCACGTCGCAGAGTTCCTCATCCCCCGAACCCCCGAAAACCGCAACCTCTTCATCAGAGCCATATCCGCATGCACGAAATCACAGCTCACGAGACTGCTGAGATACGCCGTTGAATGCGGGCGCGCCGACGCCGTCGCCGATTTGGTCGATGCCGGCGGGGAGACGAACGGAGAATCCTTCATGCTTCTCGCAATTATGGCAGGGAGGCTGGACATGGTGAAGCTTCTGGAAGGTTCAGGATGCGGAATCGATTATAACGAGCTGGTTCTGCACGAGGCGGCGGCGAAGAACCGAATTGACGTGATGGAGTTTTTGTTGGAGCGTTACGGCGAGGAATTGGAGGTGAATTCGGTGGATTCAGAAGGGAGAACTCCGATACACGTGGCGGCGAGGGAGGGGTACGAGAGGGTGATCGAGTTTTGCGTTTCGATGGGAGGGAACCCTAATTGCGTGGATTCGAAGGGGTGGACCCCACTCCATTTCGCGGCGTGGAAAGGGCACGTGAAGGCCGTTGAGTGTTTGTTGGAATGCTCCAACGTAAAGTACGCCAGGGATAGGGCGGGGAAAACGGCGTTTTCTGTTGCGGAGGAGGGTGAGAACTCGCCCACGCGCACTCGCTTGCTTGATTTGCTGTTTTGGGGCGACGCGCTGCTCCGTGCGGCGAGGGTTGACGATGTCCATGAAATAAAACGGTGTATAGGGGAAGGCGCCTGTGTGAACGGGAGGGATCAGAATGGGTGGACACCGTTGCATTGGGCTGCGTTTAAGGGTCGAATAAAGAGCGTTAAGGTTTTGCTTGAACATGGTGCGGTGGTTGATTCTGCTGATGATGCTGGGTACACTCCTTTGCATTGTGCTGCCGAGGCTGGCCACTTGCAAGTTGCTCTGTTTTTGATATCTCATGGTGCCTCTCAAGCCAATCTTAAGTCGTTTCCTCATGTTGCCTTTTACTCTTTTCAAAAGCATGTCTCTCATGATTGTAAAGCTAAGACTAGAGTTTAATTTAACCCCCACAGTGTGCGCAATCTTCTCTCTGTATATATACAGTGATGTAATCAAGTTCCTATCCCTGTTCATTGTTTCCTGCTGCTGCTTATTTTTTGGGTATGTCAAATGATATGCAAATTAAGTTCCTTTTTCGTGGACTGAATGAGAGACAGGAAAGGAAGTTGCGGTCCATTGGGATGATTTCATTGGTACTTTAACATCTTGATAATCAAATACCATAGGGTTGCTTCCAAAATATTGTTTCTCGTAATTTAACATATACAAAATTCGAACAACATCCCTGAAAATGTTAGATCATGACATCTTTCAACATGTTTGAACTCTGAGAATATCATATTATTTGCAAACGAGCTTTCAGTGACAATATTTTCTAGAATGCTCTCGTTGAAATGAGAAGCCACCACCCGTTCACAACGTCATTCTTACTTACTAAGAAACAAACACTCTTAATTGCCCTCCATGGTTAACTTATATCAAATGTTTGGAGATTGCTACTTCAGTATTTTCCTCTGACGTAAGAGACGAATTGGTACATTAATTTGATCGTTTGTGTAAGTTGATTTCCAAAAAGCACCTTTTTTGACTCGAGATATTTTAATTCAATTTTATAATTGTTTATGAAACCATGACCCCAAAGCTTCTCGAAAGAATTAAGGAAAGCGAACAAGAAATGACGACCAAATACGGGTAGTTTCTCTGCTTTGAATTCGTGAACTTAGAATTTGGGGATTGAAGGTTTGACGTTCATAATGCTTTTCTATATACATACCTCCGAATTTTGATACGTCGATTGAAATATTATACTTAATTTTAAAAAAATATTGATTTATTAATATCAAATTAGTCATGAACCATTTTAAAGTTTGTGCAAATGCGTTTTTATATCTATTAATAAAAAAACATTTTAATTCTAAAAAAATACATCATAAAATTTTGATATATTTCTTAAATCATAATTCTTAACAAAAGTTCTTAATCACTTTAAAAAATAATAATAATTGATCATCATCAATTTAACAAAGTACAAGGTTTATAGGTTTTACATATGATTGAATATCAAAATTTTTTATAATGCATCATGATAAATTACATAATACTCTACGATTGATATCATTAAAATGATTCAACATATATTTTTATTTTCTATATGCTATAAGTATTTAAAATGATGAAAAACTTTCAAAATTTTTAAGATAACAATAAAAGAAATGAGACAAGTCTCGTATGCTTCTTTGGTTAGTTGTTAGTAGTTTAATGTATATTAAAGTTTGTATTTATTCTGCATTTTTTTTATTAATGCTTTAGAAAGATATTTAAGCGACTTAAGTTTGAATCATTAGAAAATTCTTAAAAAGATAATAAAGTATTTACAGGATAAAAAAATTATATATTAAAATATATAAAGTTTAATCAATTTTATGTTGTTAGTTATTCTTATTATAATTCTAATTTTACATGTTGTTTAATAATAATAAAAAAATATATCTGGTATATTTATTCTCTTTGACTTTGAGGGATTTTCAAATGAATCATGCTCAATGATATGTTCTTTATCCTTTGGATATAAAGGAGATACAAACAATCCTATAAATCAAAGAGAATTTCAAGCAAACCTTAATCAAATTTGTCTTTAGTTTTGTTTTTGAAACTCATATATGCTTAGAGACAATCCGATAAGTCAACGGTACTTTCATATACACCTAAAGTAAATAAACTGTTTGATAATTGAAAACTAAAAAGTGTCTTTGACTTAAAAAATATTTTTAAAGGAATAATGATTTATGATAGGTTTTGTATCCTTTAGATATAAAGGAGATACAAACAATCCGATAAGCGAATGAGAATCTTAAGAAAACCTTGAACCATGCACTTTTCCATCTAAATAATAGGCTTTGTGGAGAAAGAAATGATGCAATGAAAGACACAAATTTTATGTTCCCTCACTCAATTTGGAATGATGTAAACACAAATAAGGGAAGTAAATCTGTATGGGGCATGCACGTTTCCTTCTATTCAAATTACAAAAAAATAAAATAAAAGAGTGAGAGTTGGTCACAGAATAACAAAAATAACCCTATTTTATTTTACCATATTTAAGGATTTAAATTTATTTTAACACACGCATATATTCATATCTTCTTTTAAACTCGTGTAGAGAAAACTCAAATAGTTTTAAAAGTTTATCCTTATCTACTCTTTGTTTTCTCATTTTTTTCTCTCTCTTTTCTTTTACTTAGGTGAATTCACATCAGTAAAATTCTTTGAGTTTCACTTGTAAACTCATTCAGTGATCATTCACAAAATGTCTTTTATTTAAACCTTTTCAGTTAAATTTTTAATATTAATGTATTTTTAAAACAAGTTAGAATTCGTTTTCAAACATGGCATTAGACATTGAAGCTACAAGTCGTTTTCAAACAGTGTAAAAGGGCGAACAAAGCATAAATGACAATAATTGACGGAGACAATGGATACGTACAGCTCTTCCGATGGCTGCGCACAGTGGCTAGACAAAATGCATAACGCGAAAACACGAACAAAACGGAATTTCCGGCGTTGAGGACAAGAAAGTGAATAAATAATTGTCGTACGAGTATGGTAGTATAATAGTACATATGATGAGGTGGCAGTGACATGCATTTTGACATTCACATTCACATTATTCACTTGGGATTTTACAATGCCAACCTGTAACAGCACTTTGACTTGGGCCATGTGTCGCGTCCTTCCTTTTTCCTTCATCAATCAGAAAACGTTGTGTGGCATAAATAACATTCAGCTCAGCGCCCTGCTCTGTAACTCTTAACTTCGCTCATAACACCACAAAACCCCTTTTCTCTGCATTCTCTCTCTCGCACTCCCAATTTTTCAAAACCGAAATCCTCATCCTCTGTTATACCTAACTCTCATAAATTCTCTGATCTGGAAAACAAGAGACAAAGATTGAAGAAGGGACCATCGTCCATTCATATACGATTTAGCGGGTCCGGAGCTATTCCGGGCCCACCACAATCGTTGCTCAGACTTAGGGTTCTTCTTTCGTTGTTTTGTTTTCAATCGTTGATTTTTTCTTTTTTCTTTTTTCGAGTAATCGATGGGGTCGAAGCCGTGGCTTTACCCTGCTCCTACCTATCGAACTTTAGAAACCACTTACTGGGACACCGATGAAGACGCACCTGGCCCTCGCTGTGGCCACACTCTTACTGCCGTTGCCGCCACCAAGTCGCATGGTCCTCGCTTAATACTCTTCGGCGGCGCCACCGCCATTGAAGGGGGATCTTCATCCGCTCCCGGCATTCGTACCTCCCTTCACTCACTCTCTATATCTCTGTGTGTGAGTGTTTTTCTTCTGCTTTTTCCGTCGCTTATTGCTGAATTTCGCTCCCTTTGTTTGCTGTTACTTTGCAGGACTAGCGGGGGTGACGAATTCCGTCCATTCCTATGAGATTCAAACTAGAAAATGGACTAGGTGAGTTGGCTCCCCATTTTCACAATTATTTAATCTTCCTAATTCGGTTCAATTCTCTCCTTGTGTGTGTTTTGAATTTGATTTTGTTGGGTGATTGAATTGTTATTCGAGTAATGATCTTTGCTGCTATGAGTGTTCAGTCTTAAACCTGCCGGAGAGCCACCCTCTCCTCGGGCTGCACATGCTGCTGCTGCAGTTGGCACCATGGTTGTTTTTCAGGTGATTGTGATTATATAAACTCAGGGGACTGAGATTCTTGTTTTGCTAGTTTTGCATATCAGGGTTTTTGATAGGGTGTTGAGACTTATAATCTGTTTGGTTTGATCTGCTTGGCTAGGGTGGGATAGGTCCTGCTGGACATTCTACTGATGATCTCTATGTGCTTGACTTGACCAATGATAAATACAAATGGCACAGGTGAGATTGGTTGTGACTGAACAAGCATTTCTTATAACTACTACTAGAATTTTGGCAATATAACGGTTTTAGTCAACGATGCTATTAATTTAATTGTAGAGTCGTTGTACAAGGGCAAGGACCCGGACCTCGCTATGGCCATGTAATGGACTTGGTTGCTCAGAGATATCTAGTAACCGTCAGCGGAAATGATGGTGAGAAAAATTCAGTAATTATAGCCTGTGGTGAATAATGTAGTTGTTGTAAAAACAGTAAGTATGGGATATAAATTTTACTGACGGAACAATCAAGTAGGCAATGGTAAAGCTAAACATGAATGATGAGCTTGAATTATTGTGTTTTTGAGTTTCAGTGGAAACCTCTGAACCATGGTGTTTGGGCAAAAGCTATGAGAGACTAGCTTTTACCCGAACCATGGTTTGGAATTTGGCCGATGGGAATCCAAACACACTTGTGATAAAAGCACATGTTGTCACCTGATACATAACAAATAGTTTTGGTTTTTGATACCATGTGGCAGGGAAAAGAGTTGTATCTGATGCTTGGGCTTTGGATACTGCTCAAAAACCTTATGTGTGGCAGAAGCTGAACCCAGAAGGTGACAGACCTTCTGCTAGAATGTAAGTCTGTCTAGTCTCTTGGCTAATGAAAACCTTAACTAACTTTCTTCATTGTTTCTATACACATGAGTATATTGTAATATGACATTATTCTACCTCAATTTATAGGTATGCCACTGCTAGTGCCCGTTCAGATGGAATGTTTTTACTGTGTGGTGGAAGAGACTCTTCTGGAGCTGTATGTTCAACCGTACTCTTCTATTCAGATCATTGTATTCTGTTGCATGTAGAAAACTAAATTTGCCAATCTATAATTGCTTGGATTTTTACATTCCATTTGCATTGTTAAATTGTAGTGTACTAAGTGATAAGCAATAATATTGAATCAGAAAGCTTACTTTGATATTATGTTGTTCTGAATCCTGTGTTTTTGGCCTATTTAGTGATATATGATAGCATTTATTGTATTTATCATATGCAGCCGCTATCAGATGCCTATGGATTGCTCATGCACAGGAATGGCCAGTGGGAATGGACCCTTGCACCTGGAGTTTCCCCTTCACCAAGGTATCAACATGCTGCGGTAAGTGAGAGATTCCTTCAGTGAATTTCTTATAAGATTGTTTTATTCACTACGATTTGTTTATGTGGCCTTCATATTATTACTTTCAAAATTGACAATTTAATGCCTTAATCTTGACTATTCATTGGTGATATAAATGTCAAGATTAACTTCTCTTATTCTTGTAATAAAGCTTAATTATGTACATGTTTTTGCACATACCCAGATTGTAAGAATTGATCTTACTTCCATCTAATGATTATCAAGCACCAAGCTTCATTATGGGGTTTCACTTCAACTACTTCGTTCTAGTTTTCTCTTCAACAGTAGAATGTTTAATTTAATTCGCTTTCTTTTATCATCACTTTGTCTTCATGCAATAGAGGGAGACTGTGTCAAAAATTCAAAAAGAATTAAAGTGGATTTCTCTCTTTCCTATTTAATTCTAGATTTCACTATAAGTTCTTGACATCTTTTAGTTGTTGGATGTATGGTTGTCAAAATCGCGCTTCAATGCATTGAAGCACAGATTCAATGAGTTGCAGCCTCTCCAGTGAGTCACACTCCAGTGTGACTTGAAAATCTGCTCGGAGTTAAGTGAATTGTTGCTCCTGAGCAGCAATCATAGGAGTGGCACACTGAAAACACTGTGAGGCTAATTTCCACTGGATCAAGTTGGGCAACCCATTTCGCGTAAAAAAATGTAACCTGCACAGCCCAGCCAGATATCAACATTCAACTCTCTCTGCCTCTATTCCGTTCACATTTGACACTCTCAGCTTCTAGGTTCAGTTATTTTCGATGCTGGTTCGTGTCTCGGTTGCTGCAGGGCTGCACTTTCTCCTTTCTTCTCCAATTTTCTGTTGCCATATACGGTTGTTCTGTTGTTGCCAAAAATGTCGTTTTGGGTGTTTGCTGCATACCTGCAATGGGTCTTTTATTTTATGTTTTAGCTTTATACATTTCAGTTGACTCTTACAAGTCTTGTTTCGATTCACCACTCCTATGATCCAACACTTCTCTTCCATTCCAACCTTGAAACTCGATTTTGACAACATTGCTTGGATGAAAACAAGATCACTGGCTTATAATTGGTACTAGAGTTCTTCTTTTCTCATTCTCTTTTGCTGACATTGTAGGGATTTGGGTAGATAAGGAGGAAAATAGGGATTATTCAGAACAATATTCAATCAATGTTGTTGTGAAAGATGTGATGTGCTGGTAAAGTTAAAGTACTACTAAGCTCTATTTATGCTAACAGAAGATTCCAAACCCTAATTGGATAAGGAAACAAAGTAGGAAATATATACGGAAACTATTGTTAAGAGCAATGTTGTCAAAATCATGTGTTGGATTGTATAATCCAATGATTTTGTCCTGCTTATGCATGTTGTGCACCCCTGTGAACCATTTCCCAGGCTGAATTGTGGTGTAGTGGTGTGCAAGCACATAGACTAATTTAAGTGGTACTCCAAAACAAGTTAAAACCTGTGTGAACCAGGTCAGGTCATGTGGCTTGATTTCTTAGAAACCCTATTTTGAATATCGATTCAGTTCTCCCGCCTTGTGGTACCTGACTACACTCTGGTTCTCCCTCTCTTTGATTCTCTGTTACCCAGCAACTCCTTTCTCTTTCTTCTCTCCCTAACACTATCCCTCCTCTGTCTAGTTTTCCTTATCCCTAAACACTCAACACACTCTCTGGTGTGTGGTTTCTGCTAATTGCTTCTCTTATCTGATCATTTGTTAGGTTGCTGCATGTTTTGCTGTTGTTGGCTTACTGTGCGCTCTCTTGTTGCCATGTGTTCTGTTTCGTTAAAAGAAATATGTTATGTGACTCATGAATTGTAGTATAAGACCATGTGAATCTTGAATTTCAATTTAATTAAATATTTGTTGAGATTTATGGGTTATTTTTCTATGCATATATATATATATATATATGTGTGTGTGTGTGTGTGTGTGTGTGTGTGTGTGTTTAAATATAATTTTCAATTTTAGTTAACACTTAAGATCTGTGTTACAATCCATACGATTCTACACCCTCCTTCCATGCCAATGTTGAAACTCAATTTTGACAACCTTGGCTAAGAGATCATTTAAGATTCTCTACAAGCTAAAGCATTCTAAGACATAATCATATCCTATCATGAGATATCCTGTAGATATATTCTAACACTTTTGAAGATTGTTTTATGATTAAATGCGGTGTTGCATTCTACCAGGTTTTTGTTGGTGCACGATTACATGTTACTGGAGGTGTTCTCAGGGGTGGACGGGCTGTGGAAGGTGAAGCATCCATTGCAGGTAACTAGCGTTTTTTATGTTATTATCAATTTTTTTATTGCATGTTTTTTGTCATGCTGTTTTGGCCATTTCCTCTCTCTCTCTATACCTATATTTTCTTTTTCTTCTTTGACAGTATTGGACACTGCTGCTGGGGTTTGGTTGGACAGAAATGGAATTGTGTCCTCCTCACGCCCAAACAAAGGTCATGATTATGACCCTTCTTTGGAGCTCATGCGTCGTTGTCGGCATGCAGCAGCAGCTGTTGGTGTTCATATATTTATCTACGGCGGTCTGAGAGGAGGTCAGTGTTTGCATTATGAGAGATGCAGTTTTAATTGTAAAACTGAGCAAGAAAGTCAAAATCGAGATTTTACTTAGAATTAGAAAGGGAAGTAAAAATTGTAAATCGTGAGATGGTAACACAGGTCTTTAAGACCCTACAAAATTCATATATATGCGTATACAAGAGCGTAAATAAGAAAAATGACCTTTAAATCACTACAAACACTTAAGTTCAAATTGAAAATCTATAAGAAAGCCATATACAACTCATAAATGACAGATTGACAAATTAAGCTCAAGTAGTAACAACTTAACAGCATCAAATACACTAGAGCAAGTTTTTGACGAGGACAAGACAGAACTTACTCAGTTAAATGGCTATTCCTTTAGAAGACATTTTCAGCAGCAAAACAGCACCAAAACCTACAACCCAGTTGAAAAACAGAGTACCTCTTCCATCTCCACGTCCAACAAGATGAAGAGGAACCCTGGATGAAACCATCTTGAAACAGTAGTGAACATCACACCCAACACGGTTTTGAACAAGAGGCAACAACAACAGAACAAGCACTCAAAACCAGCAAGCAGCAGCAACAAAAGGTGGCGAAGCTTTGCTGAGAACTAAAAGATGTAGCACCAACAAGTCACCCACAAGCAGAATAGGGCTTGCACACGATGGGAAAGAATGTTTCAAGAGCAGAGAAAGAGATTAGGGCTTTAGATATCAGATAGATTATTGGTTTTTCTGGGGAAAACAGGTTTAAACTCAACTCACTTAAATTGCTTGATCTTACTGTTTTTATGAGTAAGATCAGTGATCCTACCTAATCCCACCAAAACTAGTTCCAACGTACAATCGAGATGCATAGTCTGTGAAAAGTCATAAGATCATGTAATCTTATGGTCAAGATATTTTGAATTTTTGGTTAACATGGACCTGATTTTATCTTGACTTGAAAAAATAAAATACTGGCATATTCACTTTATTACAAAAACTGTCAAGCTCACAAGAATAGATTGACACTTCATTTCACTCATTCCAATGGCTCTAGTCTTTAAGAACTGTGTGACAAAGGTGCCATGACAGTCCGTCATATTGAATGAAATTAATCATCCCTTCGGTAGTTATTGGCAGATACGATTAAATCGATCCAGATTTGTCTATGTACAGTCATACAGATGTTAGATTTCCATATAATAACTAGCAAAATATTTCCTCTTATGCTCTGATAGTGAGCCATTGCAGGATAGGTCATCACGTGTCATGCTGACTTTCTGAAAAATGATTTGGTGCTCTTTTGAAAATACAACAGCGTAATTGTATTTGCTCTTCTAAGTCTATTGGTTTTCTGACAGTTTGCCATTTTCCTGGCTTGAAAAGTGGTGTTACTATACCCTTTTTCTTGAAACGTTCTCTATGTATTGTTAACCTTTTGGCTATGCATTATTTAATTAATGAGTTATCAATAGTTACGTAGAAGGAGCTGAAATGCACATGGAAGGAGTCAATGTGTTACAATCTTGCAATTTTAATTTTTGCTGCAAGTATCTTTGTAATTTAACTCTTTAATTCCTCTTACATTGCTGTTCCTTAGATATTTCAAAATTCATTTTCTTGGTTTACTAATTCTAATGAAACCATGTTATCCTGTGCAGATACACTACTAGATGATTTCTTAGTGGCTGAAAATTCGCCATTTCAGCCTGATGTTAATTCTCCCGTATTAACAGCTGACAGAGCTTCATCTGTTACAAGCTCCAAACAAAACCAATCTAACCTAAATTATTATGTTACAGCACCAAATATGGATGGTGGACCAGATTCTCCCTCATCTGGTGGCTCAGGGTATATCATTCGTTGCTTCCTTCTTTAGGAGCTCAACAGTTATACCTTATCTTTCTTATGCTTGGGCTTTTTTAATTTTATGACAACTTGATATCTGTTCATTTTAGCAGCATGGACAAAAATTCCTTGGAGAAACTGAGGGAAGCATCAGCTGCTGAAGCTGAGGTAGCAAGTGCTGTCTGGCAAGCTGTGCAGGCTATATCCAGTAGTCCTGCTGAAGAAACATCTGTGTCAGATGACAACTCACAAGCTGCAGAAACAGTTTCAGATGGAAGTGACACAGAGGGAGATGTTCGCCTTCATCCTAGGGCTGTATGTGCTTGGAATCCTTGTTTATAACTGATAATATTCCTCTTTAGGATGCAAAATCATATACATTTTGTTACAGGTTGTGGTTGCTAAAGAGGCTGTGGGTAACCTAGGTGGAATGGTGAGACAATTATCGCTAGATCAATTTGAAAATGAAAGCAGACGTATGGTTCCAGTAAATAATGATTTGCCATATCCTACAAAAAAGTTCACCAGGCAGAAATCCCCTCAGGGTTTACATAAAAAGGCAAGCATTATTTGATTTACGTTCTGCTTTCTTTATGTTGTTTGTGCTTGAAATATTACTGTCTAGTGTCTACCCATTTAATTATCATATTGATACATTAAACAAGCTCTTATTATCATTGTCTTTGTGGTTTATTGCCAGATAATTTCAACTTTGCTTAGGCCTCGCAACTGGAAAGCTCCTGCAAACAGGCGTTTCTTCTTGGATTCTTATGAAGTGGGTGAGCTTTGCTATGCAGCTGAGCAACTATTTATGCAAGAACCAACCGTTCTTCAGCTGAAAGCTCCTGTCAAAGTATTTGGTGATCTTCATGGTCAGTTTGGTGATTTGATGCGGCTGTTTGATGAATATGGATTTCCTTCTACTGCAGGAGACATTACGTAAGTTTCTTACATGTATACATTGGTAGATTAACATTGCTTGTGTATCAAAATAGCTTATGTATAGATAGAGTACCAATTCGCTCTTCTCTGTTCCAGTGTTTGTGTGATAGCATGTAATATTGGATCTTTTTATTCCTTTGCAGTCATTAGTAAATAGTTCCATCATTCTAGTTAATATACCAACATAAGGTGAAATGTCAACCATCCATATTTTTGAAGTGTTAAAATAATACTTCTCCTTGGCAATCAACTCACTTCATTGTTTTTAAGTATATTAATACATATAAAAAACATCATGAAGTTTATATGTTAGTTGCACTTGAGGTCTTCAGGGATATTGGTGTGCACCTAGCAATAAGGGTTCATTCTGTTGAATTTAGTTTATCACTAATGCAATCTAAAAATATATACCTTGTCTTTTCTATGAGAGAGGGAGGGTGATACTTGCCACAGTGGTAAGGTTGCTGCTTTGTGACTTGGAAGGTCACAGGTTTAAATCTTGAAAACAGCCACTTGGTTGGTTTCAGTCTTGTTCTATACAAATAATACATGTCTTCTAGTAAATGGTTAAGTGAGAATTTGTTGAAGGCATTTTTCTCTTGCTATGCTTCTTCATATGAACCTTCTGGAATTAGCTAAGTCATTTAATGTTTCAGGTATATTGACTACCTGTTTTTGGGAGATTATGTTGATCGAGGACAGCACAGCTTGGAAACCATTACCTTGCTACTTGCTCTTAAGGCAGGCTACTGTTTAGTTTTATGTTGGTTGTCAGGTATTATTGCATTTGATTCTATTTGTCTTGATAATTGACCTTGTTCTGGTGTTTTTGTGATTGTGTAGATTGAATATCCTGAGAATGTTCACTTGATACGTGGAAACCATGAAGCTGCTGACATAAATGCACTATTTGGTTTTCGTATAGAGTGCATTGAAAGAATGGTAAAGACAGAAACATACTTCTATTGATTCAGTTTTTAGGTTAAATTCTGCAACCGATTATGTGCTTGTAGGGTGAAAGTGATGGAATATGGGCATGGACACGATTCAATCAACTTTTTAACTATCTTCCGCTGGCTGCTCTTATTGAAAAGAAAATCATCTGCATGCATGGTGGCATTGGAAGATCCATCCACTCAGTAGAACAGATAGAGAAGCTTGAAAGGCCGATAACAATGGATGCCGGATCTATTATTTTAATGGATCTTTTATGGTATGCTGTTCTATACTTCTGTATTTATTTTTTTCATATGACTTCTTGTTATTTTTTTTTCCCTTCTTTGTCTTACAACTTTATATATTTATAGGTCTGATCCCACAGAGAATGATAGTGTAGAGGGTTTGAGACCAAATGCTAGAGGGCCAGGGCTTGTCACTTTTGGGGTAAGTATGCTATCATTTGTCATAAATATGGAACTTTCATGGTATTAGCCAATTTTCCAATTCCACCTCCCATAAATCAAGATGTATGAAAATGTATTATCATGCTTATCACTAAGATTATAAACTAATGTGTGTGAACGGAGTAATCCCAATTGATGATTATATTTTACTGTTTTGCATGTCATCCCCATTCAGTGTTGGGCAAACATTCTGTTTCAACATTTTCCCCATATATATATAAAAAATCAATAAACAGAAACCCTGTTGGATACTCAGGAAAAAATCTTCCCACAAAATTTGGACATCATTCCTCATGGGGAATTTCGTGCACAATTTCCAGTAGTCTGAGAATTAGTTGAAAAGGCTAGCCTTCAAAACTAATTATAATCTTACCTTCTAAATCAAATAAAAGTTGCATCTTCAGTCAAAACAATTTGATTCACTGTTGTAATAAATAGGACAAGTCTATTCAATTTCTTCCTCTGCTCTTGTTTTAAGGGAGTTGTTTCATTGGTGCTCAGATTGGGCAACATTGCCATATTCATGATTCTTTTCAAGTTCTGTGATTCCCATGCCACCCACCCACCCCCCACATCCTTTTGGAGGATATCTCGTCATCCTGTACTGTTTTGCTGGGAGTTTTCTTGTGTAATTATAAAAAAAACAAACTTTACTTGGAGTGGCCCCTTGTTAGATGTTATTAGTGTCTGACTAAACATGAAAATTACCTCCTCTTAACTTGAGAGCAATTTTTAAGATAGGTTAGCTTACTCCTTGGAATCATTAGTCTTCCTATATACGACAAAAAACAGTTAGTAAGCAAGCACAGGGTACGCAAACAGTGCCTTAGTAAAGATGAAGATAGGATCTTTAAAAGGTCTAGTAACCCTTCTATCACCCACAGTTTTGTGTGATGGTATAAATTAAGATCTTTCTTGCAAACCATAAGGGAAAAGTAATTTTGGCAGTCTCTACAAAACCAAAATGGGTTAGGACTTAGAATTATAATTAAGACACTATTTAATATGCAAAAAAGTTATAAAATATTTATTATTGTTTTTTCACAATTCAAAATTCATATCTTTCACTATTGCACATTCAATAACCATCCATACCTTAAAGTTCTTGCTGTTTAAATGTGAAGTTGACCTATTATTTTTCTTATTTTATGCAGCCTGACCGTGTCACTGAATTTTGTAAGAAAAATAAATTACAGCTCATTATAAGGGCCCATGAATGTGTCATGGATGGTTTTGAACGATTTGCCCAGGGACAATTAATCACTCTTTTTTCTGCTACTAACTATTGTGGTAAGCATTATTTCTTATCAGCATTCTCATTTGCTTGTTATATCATTTCAATCTAATGCTGGGCGCGTCTGACATTCAGGAACTGCAAACAATGCGGGAGCTATACTGGTTGTTGGTAGGGGTTTGGTTGTGGTTCCAAAATTAATTCATCCCTTGCCACCTCCCCTTCAGTCTCCTGAGACATCTCCTGAGCGTGTCATGGATGAGACATGGATGCAGGTGAGCCTTATGGCAGTATCTTTCTCTACACTGCATTTATCAGTTACTAAAAAAAGTGAATTTGTGTTAATGGTAATTTTCATTTTCCGGTGCTTAATTGCTTATGCTAGGAGCTTAATATTTGTCTTATTCTTATTGTAGGAGCTTAATATTCAGAGGCCACCAACTCCTACCCGGGGTCGACCACAGCCTGACCTTGACCGTGGCTCACTAGCATATATATGATATATAATTCATGACATGAATAAATATTTTTGACACAATACATATTTTGTACTGTGTTTTTTCTCTAGTTGCAGAAAAACAATTTCTCATTAACATACAAATAGCTTGAGAGAGTGCATATTTATGTTAGTCAATTAGCGAATGGGTGATTTCTTGTGAAGATTGGGTTTATAAGACATGGGACGTGGATAAAGTGGAAGAGATGTTAGTGTCCTCTCCGCCTCAACATGGGGATGACTTTTAGCGAGGGAATATAGTTGATCAGTATGTATATTGTATCATAAAAGAAATATATAATTTTGCCTTTATATAAATGTTCATAACATTTGTATCAAGCGTCTCTCAAGTTTGAATTGCATGATTTATTACTAGGCAGTTTTTGGGTTTCGAATGAAGTATTCCCCGTTCAAAAAATAAAAAAGGTTTTTGAATAAATAGCATAAAATGTTCATGTTAGAGGGAGAAAAGTACACTATCAAATTTAATCAGTGGGCCTCACAACCAATAATGGTAGGTTTTTAGTTGATAAAAGTCTTTTTTTAACATAATCAGATTATGTTAAGTAAAAGCATAATATTCATTTTTTTAAAAAAGGTGCCTTAACAGAAAATGGAAGCAGCATTCATTTGAAAAGATTATTCGCTTCATTTTTAATATAACTAAGAAAGCTAGCGTATTTCATTTCATGCACTCTAAAATATTTGTAGAGACGATAATTTAATAAATGGTATTAGAAACATACAAAACGAATTAACGTTACCGCCTGCTTAACTAATGGTAAAAAAATTAACACGGCAGTGGAGCACATAGGGGCCATAGGGAACAAGTTCAAAAATCAAAAAGCATTGCACTTTACTTCTTTACTCACCCCGATAAGAAGGAAAGAAACGAAGGCAATCAACTGTTCTCTCATAATCAAACACCACATTTATCATAGATGTTAATAAAACATATTTGGTTTAATAAATATTTAAATCATAATTCTTAATCCAGAAATAGAGGATCAAATTTCAATGTTTCAGTGCGTGGTGCAAATTGCAAACCACAACACAATATTGGTGTTGACTACGGCACACTTTAAAATGATTCCACGGTTTCAGCTTCAGCCCATGGGGCACATGGGCCTATCATACTTTTTGGGTTATACACACAATAGAAAAAAGTAAATATAATTATATAAATACAAAATATAGGCCCAAAAAAATATAAATAATAATAATAAAAATAAACAAGCATTATAGTGGGATCATGAGTACAGCGAGCAACTCTTAAACCCTAAACCTCCATCGCTGTAAGGTGTGGTGAGTTGCATCAATGGAGGAAGGAAGGTCGAAGAAAAGCTTCCCTGTAAAACCGAAGCTGAAATCAAAACCCAGAAAGCCAAAGCAAACCCCGGAATCCAAGTACTGGTCTTCCTTCAAGACCCAAGAAATCCCTAAACTCATCTCTGTTCCGTCCCTCACATTCTCCCCCACACCCCCACACTCCTTCGCCGCCGCCCACTCCGCCTCCCTTACCATCTTCAGCTCCCAAACCCTCTCCCCCACCGCCACCATCTCCTCCTTCTCCGACGCCGTCACCTCCGCTTCCTTCCGCTCCGACGCCCGCCTCCTCGCCGCCTCCGACCTCTCCGGCCTCATCCAAGTCTTTGATGTCAAGACCCGCACCCCCCTCCGCCGCCTCCGCTCTCACACCCGCCCCGTCCGATTCGTCCACTACCCCATCCTCGATAAGCTCCACCTCCTCTCCGCCGGCGACGACGCAATCGTCAAGTATTGGGACGTCGCCGAGGAGACTCCGGTATCGGAATTCCTCGGCCACAAGGATTACGTCAGATGCGGCGATTCTTCCCCCGTTAATTCCGACAGCTTCGTTACCGGTTCCTATGATCACCTTGTTAAGCTCTGGGACGTTAGGGTTAGGGATTCGAAATCGTCCCTGCAGGTGAACCATGGGGCGCCCGTCGAGGACGTGGTTTTCTTGCCGTCGGGAGGGATGGTTGCGACGGCGGGAGGGAATTCCGTAAAGCTATGGGACCTGATCGGCGGTGGGAAGCTCGTGTTTTCGATGGAGAGTCACAACAAGACGGTGACGTCGATCTGCGTGGGCCGAATTGGGAAGGATTCAGGGGAGGAATCAAATCAGTTTAGAATTTTGAGTGTTGGGTTGGATGGGTACTTGAAAGTGTTTGATTATGCCTCATTGAAGGTTACTCATTCTATGAGGTTCCCTGCACCTCTTTTGTCCGTCGGTTACTCGCCGGATTGCTCCACGAGGGTGATCGGGACTTCCAACGGGATAATCTATGCTAGCAAGAGGAAAATGAAGGAAAAAGAAAATGCGGAGAATGAGTCTAGTTTGTTTTGGAGAATTAGGCCTGTGGAGCACACTGAGAAGCAAGTGTTGAAGCCTTCACATTTTAGGTATTTTCATAGAGGTCAAGGAGAGAAACCATCTGAGGGTGATTACTTGGTTATGAAGCCCAAAAAAGTGAAGTTGGCTGAACATGATAAGCTGTTGAATAAGTTTAGGCATGGGGAAGCTTTGGTGTCTGTGTTGGAGAGTAAAAATCCTGGGAATGTGTTGGCGGTGATGGAGGAATTGGTGGCTAGGAAGAAGTTGTTGAGGTGTGTCTCGAATTTGGATTCGGATAAGCTGGAACTGCTCTTGGTGTTCCTGCAAAAGTACTGTACCATGCCAAGGTATTCCAGTCTGTTAATGCGGTTGACCAAGAAGGTTCTTGAAATGAGAGCTGAGGATATTAGAGCTTCTGAGGCCCTCAGGACTCATATCAGAAATCTCAAGGGCTCTGTTGAGGAGGAGATTCGGGTTCAACAGTCATTGCTAGAGATACAGGGTATAATTTCTCCCTTGTTGAAGATTGCTGGAAGAAGATGAAATTTTGGCCTTCTCTCGTCATCTGTGAGCTGGTTTTGTTCACCTATTCTGTATTTTTTTTAGTTTAAGGATGTCATTTTTATTTTTGTAATTTAATTCAGGTCATTTCAGTTTCTTGAGATTTTTTATGGGAAATATGTGCCTTGGAAAATACCAGGAAATGTTTAAAATTTTTGCTAGTGTTAAAGGGACTCTACTTAGACTTTCATCTATAGTCTCGTTTGGAACCTAACCTGCCTATAATTTTTGTTTTGTATGATGTTCCTCAAAACTTGCATATCTTTTAGTTTATGAATTGGAGGGTAGGCTCGGTTTGACAAGTATGTTTACACTTCGCATTATGAAGGATATTTTTCCAGAGGACCAAAATTGATTGGAATTTCCATTGTATCTATTGTCACTGAACATGATCAGTTCTTTGATGTAAATTTTAGCCACTAAGATATACGAACTTAAGTTCTTATGTCAAGCTTAATTACAAACAACACTTAAATGCATGCCTGGAAAAGTTGCAAGGGGAACAGCATTAGAAGCTTATAGTACATAGTTAAATTGGACATTCATCTGCAGTAAGAAGCCTTAAACATATAATCAGAATTTGCTTTAGTTGAGGGCACTCATCATCATACACTCAAATAGTGAATACCCATACAAATCACCTCCAATTAATTTAAACGCTTAAAATAAATCATAACATCAGCTTATTTTCAGTAAAGACAGGTTTAAGATTTCTGCAGCAATGCTCTTAATGTGAAACTTAGCAAAATATAGCACCGGTGGGTTACAGGGTGAGCAGTGAATCCCTGTCATGGCCAGCAATTAAAGGTTTCTTAACAATTTTTTCCCCCACTCGAGTGGTTGAAACTTGTAACAGTGGCAAGCAAACACTCTACATCAGGAGTCACGATCCTTTCCCCTTCACAATCAAACCCAGAAAGCTGAGAATCTTGTCGATTAGCTAGAGCTGCACATCCAACGATTAACAAACACTCTGATTGCATTTTCAATGTTGAATCCTTGCATTGCTGATCTTTAATGTCCAATGCTGTCCTACTGTTGTCTCCCCCAGTTGTAGCTTTTCCACTTGAAGATTGCAGTGTTTATATTACATGCAAATTCTTTTAATGATTAACGTGTATGGAGCTAATCCAACGAGAGTAAACATGAGCAAGCAAAAAATGTTGTACGTGATCAAATAAATCCAAGGTATACAATGTATACATTATTATATTTATCAATAATCCTACATATTTACAACTTTAAAGCCATGAGCTATGTGCTTGATACCAAGATTCTCGGCACTTGCATGATTCTTGTTTGAAGTCTAACAATATAGTAGAATATAAATATGCGTGAAGTGTGTTGCACTTTGTAACTCAAAAGTCTTCAATCAGGGAATTTTAGAGTTGCACTTTTGGTTTTGGTAAAGCTTACAGTATTTTAGAGTTTTTTTGTGACCGTATTATTTTTGTTGGTGTTGTGGCCAAATAATATATAGAAAAAAAAGAATACTATAATAATTGGACGATTATATTTAATCAATACTACAATTGACCACAGTAGATGCTTCGGCGGTGATTTAAATAAGATAGGCATTTTTTTCATGGGAAATCCACAAGTTTTAATTCCATTAATTATGCATCCCATGTATAATTTCAAATATTTATATTTAATTTTGATTTTTAATTTCAATTGAATTAAAGATATACGTACAATCCACAGTACACTCACTAAAGCATATAAATGATGTAATGGTATATCTATAAAAGACTTTAAAATAGTTTTAATTTGATTTCTTAATAAATGGAAAAAGATAATTATTAATATTGCTAATATATAACGATTAGAAAAATTCGCATAATGTTATTGTAATGATTAAACCATATAAATCCAGACCAAGATTTAAGTCGCACGCATGTTTGAAGGCACGGCTTCCTTTCCATTTATGCCAGTACACTGATAATTTGGCTTGTTTACCTAATTAATACATTTTAAAAATTGATCTGAACAACAAAACACTAATAAATATAAAGTAAAAAAATTATTAGAATAAAAGAAATCAGTAAAAAAAAAATTCTTAATAGCAATACAAATTTATTGACAAATTAAAATAATTAAAGAAAAAAAAGTAATTTTTTTTAGAATCATTCTAAAAAAGCTAAAGGTGCAGTAGTTTTTACTAAAGTTACAGAATAATGGTAATTATAATGACACTAAAAATGGCTTTAATATGTTATTCACAACAATCGAATTTTTGGTGAGACAGAATATATCTATATATATATATATATATATAATATTCGACAGCAAGAGAGGAGAATATCACGTCAACAGATTTAGAAAGATAAAATAAATAAAAGGTAATAAAAACACAGGTTTTATTTAAGTTTAAAGTAGTTAACAAGTGATCATAAAATTGGAACAATTAAAAGATAAAAAATAAAAAAAGGAATAAAAAAACCACAAAACAGCTCATAATAATTAGTTAATATTGATAATTCATTAGTTGACAACCGAACACTTTGTCCGAATTTGGCCCTGAGAGCCAGTGAGGACCTCAATGGCTCCCATTCTCTTCATCGACTGTGCGAACTCTGTGAAGAACTTATCTTCATCAACCAATTCTTTTGCAATATCTTCTGCCTCCTCTCTTGTTAGAAGAGCAGCATCTGATTGAAACAAACCCTTCTTCTGAAGAAGGTTTGGATAATAGTCACTATCAAATTTGGTAGAGCTTCCAGGATCCATTTCTACCGTTGTGGTTGTGTCACTTAGACTCTTGCATTTTGTCTTCAAGAATGCAGCATAAGTGGGATTCAAAGAAGGGTCTTGATCACCTTTTCCCGTGAAATTATAAAGCCTGCTACTGAAAGAGCTGCAATGCCCTACTCCAATTGTGTGTGCTCCTGCACATATATTATATTATACAATAAAGATAATTAATTATATAATATATTGATATTTAACAGCAATTAATATTATGAGTGTGTAATATGATTTATATGAATAAAGTTACCTGATAATACAACCAGATCGTGCAAAACTAGACCTTTACTAGCAAAGCTTGCTTTGAGTTGGGTGAAGTTGAAGAAAGGTGCTGGGATATTGGCCAAGGCTTCACTATTTTTTGATACTGTGCCATCTCTTCTACCAGTGAGCACTTCCCACATTGGTTTATTATCAAACTGAAATATATATTTATATCAGGTAAACAAACATGCATCAAATAATAGCCTAAGATTATATATATGACATCTCTCTTAAAACAAAGGAAATTTAACTCAGCATTTTATTTTATTTTTACAAAATAAGCATGTGTTCAGAAACATGTTAAAATATATAAATATGCATTTACTAGGAATCTAAATTCACACTAATTAATTAGGAGAATATTTATGAACGGTTATCTAAACTTACTTGAACGGAAACAGCGTCCCTAGCTGCCAATGCGAGAATGTCAGCACAAGACACAGTCTTGGGACATTTTGCCTCGACCGCAGCTTTTATATCATCTATCACATCAAAGCCACCCAAAGTTAAATTGGGAATTGAATCCTTCTCTGCACTGTTGTTGGCAGTGGAGTTCACCAAAACTGACCCATCACAACCCTGAAATGTTTGCATGGCAACCATATTGTAATAGGCATATCATTTGTTATGTAGCTCCAAAACAAGTTGCATGGCAATTAGCATTTTACATATAAAGTTACCTCTACAAATTATAAGTAAATGTTAGATAATAAACTAATTAAAACTAAAAAAAATTAAAATTATATTCATACCGTGATTTTGAATTTACTTTTAATATAGTTTTAATAATCTTTTAACTAATATGTTTAAGATATTGATTAACTAGATCTAAATTTATATATCAAAATTGGATAAAAATATTGGTAAAAAGAAAACATAAGTATACGTAAAACAATCTTGGAATTAATGTTAACATACCCTGACAAAACAGTCATGAAAATGCAATCTAAGCAACCTGGCCGGCAATTTGGGATCATCATTGACATGCTGTTGGGTTTTTTTCTGAATGATGTATTCAGCTTGTGGGCAAGAACGCTGATAGAACTTCTTCCTGAGGCTGCCTCCTTGACAAACCCCAAGGAAACTCAAAACTACCACACAAGTTATTAGCAAAATTCTCATCTTCATATTCACTTACCAACCTATAGCACGTAATAAGTATCTTGACTTGAGAAAAGGAATGCTTAGCTACACAAACATCGCTCCCTTTTATAGGCATTCTTATGTGTCATCCTTCTAAGGTAAATCCAGATAAGAATTAAGAATTTTTCAATTGATGGGAGAGAATGAGAGATCAATTTCTAATTAATTAACCGGCCGGTGCTTTTTTAATATGTTGCGCAATAATTAGTTTCATGCATCTTCAAATTTCAATCATCGATTCAATATGCATGCTAGCAAGCTAGTTTCATTAAAATAAGCACCAACCAATGGATAGAGACGACACAATTTAGAAATTAATAGAATATATCAACCCAAAGAAAATAAAATAAAATAAAAACTGTTTTTCAATTCTATTATGGTTAGAACATGTCAGTCTTGTATAATTGTATATTCTTTTTTTTAGGTCAACCCTCTTTTAAAGCTTTCTTTCTTTTCTTTTAAGCTTTGACTGTGCATGATCTGGACTAGCGAACTGATGATTAAGTTGTGTTGTTAACTTGAATTTGCACGTCCCTTAATTTTTATCGAATGAATCATAGTGTGATGCAAATGCAGGTAGAATATCTTAAAGTCGTTAGGTTGGCATACAACACGAGAACGCGTTTTTACGTTAGATAGAACACTCTTCTCCAGCATTGCTATGACATTATATACATACATATATATATATATATATAGACACACACACATTCCTTATGTTGTATATACATTAATTTTTTGTTTCTTGTGATCGAAGGTAACTTAACTCAAGTTGCCTATCAAAAACAAACTCAACTCAAGTTATTTGCAATACAAGGAAGTTTAATTAAGAAAATAAAAGAAATATTCAATAGCCAAAGTCAATGCTTATCGGTGTCAAAATGTCCATTCTTAATTTCCAAGTTTGTCTTGTGGCTTGTCCCATAGCACATGGTTGCTCGGAACTTGAGGATGTTTTGTTTTCAAATGCAAATGGTACAGGTATATTTACATTTCCTTTCTATCAATAAACACATATGTCCTTGTTCCTCAACGATTGGATTCTTACCAGTAAACTAGTGTTTAAATCACAACCATGCACACTATTTGACCTTTATATGACACACATAAAAGTCAATGTGCTGCTAAAGGTTGAGTATATGCGTTAATTTATATGGCCATGTATAGCATGTTTGTGAGACAAACATTTTTTTAATACCTTGTTTAGTGTTTACTTGAAAAAGTCATACATTGTGGAAAACTTGGTTAGTTAGACTTCCGATTGCAAAATACATTAGAGTCTACGTTTCATTTGTCAGACGAACAGCAAGGAAAACCAATATTCATTGGAACGGGTTGGTGAAGATGTAGTTTACAGGTAACACTTATGTCTCTTCTTGGGAAAATTGTGTGTTGATACTTCATTAAAGAACCTAAATCTTATATATATAATAACATGCTGGCAAAAATGAATAGTGCTGAAGTCGTAAATTTAGGGATCAAGTTCCACGATTACTGCCTTATAATGTGCTACTTTTTATAGAGTTTACCAAAAGGAGTCCATTTGGTTTACTTAAATAAGAATGGAGTAAAATCTCGTATTAATTAATTTATTCAATAATAAGCTTTAGTTACTTTAATCTTGAATTTTATAAAATATCATTTATTTTAATTCTAAATCTTATAAAATGTTATTTATTTTAATCTTTTTTAGTAAAATAATAATAATAATAATAATAATAATAATAATAATAATAATAAATGGAATAAAAATAATTTAAGATGAATGCTATTTAATAAAGTTAAAGACCTAAACAGAGATTTTATATAGTAGAGAACTAAAATTACTAGTGTAGATGATTTCAAATACCGGAATGAGGATTTATTTAATGAGAATAAAAATAAATATATATATATAAATATTCACTGAATTTTGGCAAGAGAACACATTAAAAATTCAAAATAAAATAGTCAATAATAATAATAATAATAATAATTTCAAAATAAGATTATTTAATACATATTTCTTAAATTAGTACAATATATAATAAATATTTTTTTAGAGTTTAAAAATACACATCTTAAAATTATTAAAAGTGATTAATTCGTTTCATAATTTTTATATTATTAAAAGAAAAACACTTAATATTTGTATTTCTCAATCACAACATTTATAAAAACCACCATCATTATCAATTATTATCTAAATAACAAAAGTTAGATGTAGTAAATTTATACAAACGTTTCTCACTTCTTTCTCCACCAATAAAGTTCAGCATAGTTGTCAAATAATTGAATTTTTTAAATTTACCAACTAAGGTTTAATTTTTTTTACTATATTATAAGAATAAATTATTAAAAGAGATTAATTCGTTTCATAATTTTTATATTTCGAAAAAATTAGAATCTAAGCATCAATTATAATATATTTTTATTTACCCCAAAGTGGCCAATTTTTTGCAAAATTGGAAGGATTTACTCATATTCTCAAACGATGTATAAAGAGAGGGTAATGGGGCCCATTCCTAGATTGTAATGAAAATGTATAGAATCTTTGCCAAAATCACATTCAGTCAATGCACCCAAAAGGAAATCACATCCAACTTAGTAAACTTTTCAATCTGACATAGTTTGACGTTTATTTTGCACTCAACAAGCAAACTCATGCATGCAAATTACAAATTACAAAAAGTGAAGTGGTAAAACCATTGTGTTGTTTCATTTTGTTGAGGGCTGTTAAACAAAGGGAAAAAATATATCTCTTAATTCTGTCTGTATATCCAAAACACACTTTCTTCACATTTCGTTCTTTAGTTATTTCCTTTCTATTTTAACCATTACCCAAATAAAAACATTACACTAATATTTAATTCTATTTATTAAAATTTAAGTATATGTCTTATCTAAGAATATGAAGAAAGAGTATACTTTAAATTCACTGATATTCATATTATTCTTACTTACATTTTCTTTGATTTATTATTAACCTATTAATACGAAACTTTAGTTTACTATTTTTTTTTCAAGTTCAATTAGCTTCAATTTAATTTGTAACTTACATTTTAACTTGAGTATGTAGTTCAAATTTGATTCCTTATAACAGGTCTCTGTTCTTTTTAATTTTATTTTTTTTGCATTTCAATTTATTTTTTGGGCTTGTATTTTCTTTCTTGTTTTTTTTATGTCATAGGTCTATTTTTAATTTTTAATTTTATTTTTCATTTGGCTTGTTTTTTTATTAAAAAAACTCTTTTTTGACCATTTATTTTTTAGTTTCAAGGAATTTTTTAAACCAAATTCTAATACCATATTAGAATTTGAGTGTATGTTTGATTAAATAATATAAAAGAGATTAAATTTTAAGTTTGAGTGACATATTTATTTAAAAAAATTTAACTATTTTAATTCCTAATCTTCTTTTTAATACATATTTAAATTTGTGACATACCTAAAAAAGATTATTATCAAATGCTACTCATTTTAAAATGTTAAATTTTTTAACCACCCTCATGATTATTTTACCGACCACAATTTTTTACCTGATAAGTTATACTACCGACCATTTGAGGTAAAAGAAACATTTTAATAATAATCAAAAGAGGTATAATTAAGTGACAAATGACAAGGATAAATTGAAGAGCCAAATGCTGGGTTGGTGATTAATCAGAATCTAGATAAAGGGGCCTGCGTACAACAATGACACAGGGTTTCTAAAACATTCTGAAAGTACAAAGAGAGAGATTGTGAAGAACACTGTTGCAAATGCAAAACATGAAAACGACCAAAGACAAATAAAATAGTGTCTGACTCTGTTTTGAATTTTGAATATTGGCTTTTGGAGGGAGCGAGTGTCTGAAATATGATCTGAATCTGAATGTATTTTGTGAATGAACGTAGAAACAACTCAATTGCATACGATGCACGTACAAGGTTGAATGGGTCCCATCATAATGATCCCATGTATATGTATATGTATATATTGGGGACTCAAGTGGGTCGACAAGGATCCAACAACTTCCGCTCCTTGTCTCCATTCCTCAAGCTTGGCCCATATGTTGGGACCAGCCCTTTTTCCTCCATTCCACTGCCACTCTCCTTTCTTTCAGATTCTCTATTTTTAATCACAATCAGTTTTTTATGTGTTATTTACTCTTTTTGTTTCTTGTATTGGAACAAAACAAAGTAATATTCTTGTTATTTCTTTTCAAAATTTTGGTATAGCCAAATGAAAAACCTTTATAGTTAGTAATTTACAGTTGCAGGATAAATGAAACATTTAAAACTTGCACTCTGAAGTCTTTAATTTGTTCAAGACAAATGTTAATGAAAACCAGTTAAAGAATACAAATTGTTAACATCCTTTTCTCATAACTTCTTATTTTTAACTAAATGAAATAATCTATTGATTCTTAAATCAGTATAAGACCCATTGATTAATAGTCCCACTTAAAATGGGGCCAGTTTTGGTGCAATATTCACCGGCTCTTTGCGCTCAAAACAAAAAGTTGTCGTAAAACAATTGACTTTGCAGGATGATAGTTTCTTGAAAGCATGTAATTTAGGACAAGGTTGTAAGTTAAATATAAACAAAAGAAGCCTCACGTTGAATAATAATAGAAAAGTAGAATAATATGTGTAAGTGGTGTTTAGTTAACGAGTAATTACTTTCCTAAGAGAGTTGATCCTTTGTGGTAATGTGATCCTATCTATTTATAATGCATTGAGGCTCTTACATGATGAAGAATTGAAAAAGCCACTTAAATCTTAAGTGCCGTCAAAAGAAGACAGATTGCATAGGATCCAACTAGCTAAGGCAAAATGACAAATGGTTTTAGTAAATCAATGTGAGAGAAATAACCAAACAATAATAATAATAATGAAGAAGAAGAATTACCACTCTTCAGTCTTCATATCCTTTAATCACGCGAATCATATAAAAAGGAATCATAGTTGTTGGAAACACAAAAGTTGTCTCTCCAATAATAAGATGAATAATAAAAGAAAAAGGAAAGCATGTGTCATGGGACAATCACAATCATCTCTGACCCCAGAAACCACAAACCAGAAACCAAAAACAAAATCAACTTTTTTGCAACGGTCTTCACAAATTCGAATTCCACTGTCCAAGCCGTATGTTTTCTCCTGAATTTCTTGGAAATTGCTTATTTCTTTGTATCACGGTTTAACGAATTTTTTAATGTTTTTTTAATAATTATTTACTAAAATAAAATTAAAAATAAACATATTTCTAAATTTTTACCACGTTAGACTGTGTTTCATATTTAAGAGAAACGAAATTATTTTTTTAATTTTAATATATCTATTTCATTTAAAATAAGGATGAAATCAATCAGTAACACATTTATTTTTTTCTCTTCCCACTAATACAATTTATTTTTTCTTTTTCTCTCCACAACTAATATCATTTAATATTTTTTTTTGTAACTCTACACCATTCACACAACACAACACAACTTATTTATTTTTTTCTCTCTTCTCTCCCTTTATTATTGGTCCAGATGTATTTGCAGAACTGTATTTTTAAATTCAAATTTGTATTTTACCTTTCATCTCTATTGTATACAAAACGTGATATATATGTTCTGTTCTGGTTAATTTCGTCCTTATTTTAGATGAAATAGACAGATTAAAAATAAAAATAAAAGTCGTCTCTCTTAATACGAAATACAGTTTGACGTGGCAAAAATTTGTTCCAAACAAAAAATATGTTTATTTTTAATTTTATTTTGATAAATAATTATTAAAAAATATTAAAAAAATCATTAAGTCTTGTATCACATCGTACCAAAGCACGTGTTTTTTTTTTTACCATGACAAACTCTATCTTGACCATAGAAAATTAGGTTAAGTCTTAAAAAAAACATGTAACTCTATTTATAAACTTGTTAATGTAAAGTGTTTTTATTCTTTTGTTTAAATGCATGTTAAATTATATTAAAAGTATGATATCACGTTTGCTTATTTTAACAAACATATTCGTTTAAAAGAAAAACATGTATTATAATTATTTAGATTGACCCTTTGTTAATCTCTCAGCCTTTCAATAATAATATCCTATCCAGTAAAAATAGGGATATCATTCTCTTCTTAGTACTTTCTAATATGAAAAGAAAATAGTAATAATATTATAAATTATTTGAACAAGCTTCTTGATGCAACCACCTGAACTCATTATGCGAAGCGTCAAATTCTGATTTTGAGTGTTTGATTTCCATCCAAATAATATCTTGGATAATTTCTTTATAAATAATCACAATAACTTAGGAATGTTATGATTTGTCTTTTGTGTTGTGAATTTAAAAGCTGTTGTGTCCCACTTTTTTTTATGGCTCAAAATAGATAGCAAGTGGGTAACTTGATTTTACAAAGTTAATAATTTATTTTTCACAACCAAAAAAACACATTATTATTATTATTATTATTAAAGTCCCAACTATAACTTTTGGGTGTGACTTTAAATACATTTTATTAAGGCCCGGAAACCCATGTGCATGTTCCACTATAGCTCTTGCTAATTTATTATTTGATTGGATGCGAAGAGAAAATACAATGCATAGAAAAAGTAAAAGGAAATAAAATAAATACAAGAGAGGATTAAGTTTGTGAGCACAATAGAAAAAGTTTAAGTACATTAATAGTATAAAAGTTTTTTTACAGTGTCATTTAATTAATATTTGTTATATAATTAAATTTTTTATTAATTATTTTAAAACTCATTTAAAGGAATTTTTAATCAATTAATAATATACAAAATTTACACAAAAAATATATAAAAAACTCATAAAAAAATTAATGTCTGCATTTTTTAAATTAAATATTTTATTATTTTTATTCTTGAAAAAATATAAAATATCAATGGAAATACGTTGAGAAGTTATTTTATAGGTTGCATCATCCCTAATAATTTATCTTTAGTTGTTATTTTAATTTGTTTCCTTATAAAAAAAATAAGCACACATATTAATCTCACGAGTTGAACAAACAAAACTCATGAGTAAATTGCACACAAAAAAGCATTTAAAATAAAGAAAATAAGACCTCAATTCAAGAAAAGAAAATTCATATTTAAAGTCTATTTAAAAAAATTATATTTATTTCACTTAAAAAATGTTAACCAATTATTTGTTATATATAAAATGTAGAGTCTCCTTAAAATATTGAGCGTTATATATTTATGGTTTCTCATTTATTATGCTAGCTATCATTTAAGAAGATGGTAGGAAAATTTTTAAGGGAATCGTTACTCAATACCGTATGATTTGATGAGAAATATCATATTATGTTAATGTATTTTTTTTTTCTCATAATCTTGATAAATATTAACATTTAATGAATTAAAAACCTAAATAAATACTTTTAATATTCATTAAAATTGTTAACATATCATTCTTAATCTTTTCTAACCTCTTCACATAATTAAACTCTCTCTATATCTACTCTTAAATATGAGATCTCTTAACTAATTTACAATAATAATAAAAAAAATACAATCACCAGTATTAATAACATTGAATTTTTTAAAAATTTAGATAAATTTTCTAAAATTTTGATTAAAATTTTTGAGACAAGTTATCTTGTTTACTTTTTACTTAAATTATTACTAAGATATTTTATAATTATAAATTATTGCAATAAATAATTTATAAACTTCTGAAGAAAAAGTATATATAGGTATCTAAGGGGATGATGGTTTTATTAAAGATTTAATTTGTTTATTTCTTAATGATGAAAATTAAATGACCATCCAATCTAAAATCTTGTAGCTGTGTATATTTGCAAAGTCCAACCTTTCTTTCAATGGTTAATGATTGACAATGGTGTTTTAGGAAGCAATTTTGAACATGCTTGTAATTGAAGGATTCCCATATTGCAACCCCAAAGACTTGCATCCAACAAAGATAATTATGCCCTCTATTCACCTAAAACAGTAAACCCAACTAATTCCCCAACTGTATTTATAAATCCATAACCTAAACTCAATAAACATGACCTACCACTCATCACCTCCCAATATAAAAATGTATGATCTAATTAGACAAAAATTAAGTAAAATAGTATAGGTTTTGTTAATATTTTTCTTTTAATAATGAGAGAATATTAATAATTACTTCTATTATACTAATTAAACAATTCAAAATAAAAATATAATAAAATATTACTAATTTCTTATTATAATATTTAATAACAAAATTATTGATTAATTTTTTAAATAATATATTTTTAAAAAAATTATTAATAAAGTGATAAAATTTTATTTTATTATGAATGATAAAATTTATCTTTAAATATTTTTAAATAATAATAATTAATAAGAACTATCAAATTCATTTAAAAATAATCATAGTATTTAAAAAATAGATTTCAATTCCTATAATAATTTTTAAAAAATAATTAATTTTAAATACTTAAACTTAATTTAAAAATTAAAATTAACAAAATCTTTGAACTTAACATCTCGAATTGTGATTAAAAGGAATTAAGCTATATTAAAATAAAGAGTATAAAATGAAAAAAGAGAAGCTAATCATCTTGGTAAATGAGTGATAAGTCCCCCGTTTGAGAGTAAATTGAGAGAAGGTGGTGTTTAAATGGAGCAGAAAAGGACAGGGTAGCACAGATGGATAATAAAGTGAAGGAAGAGAGAGAAAGTGGTGGGCGTTTGAAGTTTAAACATAGAGAGAGAAAGAAAACAAAGGAAATTGAATGCAACGGAACAAAAGACATTAACTAAGGAGCGAGGAACCAAGGCACTGAGCCACTCCCACTCATCTCAAATTTAAAACTCCCATCAAAGAGAGAGCAATGACAGGGATCGTAATGGTGACTAAGGGTGGTGGTTGCGGTGGCGGTGGCAAGAGGAGCAGAGTCTCTGGAACCACCGAGGAAGAACAACACAACCAACTCTCCCTCGTCGCTCTTCTCTTGGCGGCTATAAGAAAATCAATGGTTTCTTGCAGGGTCGACCAACCCGACGATGTAATCTCCACCGTCCATCACATGGAGATCGGATGGCCTACCAACGTCCAACACATCACTCATGTCACTTTCGATCGCTTCAACGGCTTTCTCGGTCTCCCCGTTGAGTTCCAAGTCGAGATCCCAGCTCCCGTTCCCAGTGCCAGGTAATTTCTTCAAACGCATTCTCTTTTTCTTAGATTTCATTTGGGTTTTGCTTCTCATGTGAAAAAATTTAATTTTTTTTTGGTGGGAATGAACATTTTTTTAGATTAAGGTTGCAAATTTCTATACGTCAATTTTCAAATGTTATAATCTAGCCTTCTTTTATTTTCTGCTGCTGATTTTTATTCTTCCCTGGGCCCAACATACCCATGTTTTTGTTGCATCTTTCTAACTTGTGATTTCTTTTCATGTGGGTTTCCAGTGTAAGTGTGTTTGGTGTCTCAGCAGAATCTATGCAGTGCTCTTATGATTCTAAAGGAAACAGTGTTCCCACTATTCTCTTGCTAATGCAGGACCGTTTATACTCACAGGGAGGCTTAAAGGTACTGATTGTATAATATATTTTGTCATTTACAACACTAAGGTTCTTCGAACAGTCAGATTCAGATAACATCTATTTTGTGTTTTTCTTTTCAGGCTGAAGGTATATTTCGTATAAACCCAGAAAATAGTCAAGAGGAGCATGTGAGGGACCAGTTGAATAGAGGCATTGTGCCAGATGACATTGATGTTCACTGCTTAGCGGGACTAATCAAAGCTTGGTTCCGAGAGCTTCCCTCAGGAGTGCTTGATGGACTTTCCCCTGAGCAAGTTCTTCAGTGCAATACAGAAGAAGATTCTGTTGAGCTTGTGAGGCAGCTAAAGCCAACTGAATCTGCCTTACTCAACTGGGCTATTGGTCTTATGGCCGATGTTGTGGAAGAGGAAGAGTTTAACAAAATGAATGCAAGAAATATTGCAATGGTTTTTGCTCCAAACATGACTCAGGTATGCTCACATACACGTTTTCTGGTAAAATTGTTAGTGTTTGCTTAATGTTCTTCTATAGTATTTTATTTTAGGTTATCCCTTTCCTTTGTTTTGGCCAAATGATATGTTATTTAAACAAATAAACCATTGTTATCTTATTTCACATAAGTAAGCAGTAGTTTCCACTTTCCGTTACCAAACAAGTTGCCATATTTTGTTTACCATAGGCTATTCTACTCTTATGCATATAAGAAATATGCACACTGCGAAATTGTCTATTTTTAATTCATCTTTATTTCCTGGAACAGATGTCTGATCCTCTAACTGCCCTGATGCATGCGGTGCAAGTGATGAACTTACTCAAGACACTGATAATGAAGACACTTAGAGAACGTGAAGAAACAGCTACAGGTGGGTATTCTCCTATGTCATTTCACTCGTCAGATCGCCAATCTGAAGATGAATATGACAGTCAGCGAGAAATGGACACCAGCGGTGAATTGAGAGGAACCAAATCAGATTATGATGATCATGCTCACTACAGCCATAGTAGTGAAGAGGAAGAAGGGGAGGCTGAATCTTTAAGTGAGATAGAGGAATGCTTCTTGAAACAGTTGGATGAGAACACCAAATCATTCTCAGAAGTACCTGCAGGTAATTTGCAAGAGTACGTTAGCTCCAGAAGTTGCTCTGGCTATGTCATGGAACCTGCTACATCAGTTTCCGACAGCAAAGCAGGGAATTCCTGCTCGAGGACAACACTGACTAGTTTGAGCTCAAATGTTGACACAAGTAGTCCATCAATAGGATATGCTGGCACCAATGATATGGATATGATGGATAAATTTACGGATTCTATTTCACCGGTGCCACTTCTTGCTTCTAGTTAAGAACTGTTTTTTATAAGGTTTAGTACAACCATGTTTTCCAGATTTTGTCTCTACAAGCAGTAGATTTGCTTGTGTAAATTAATACATGGAGTAGGAACTGTTTTCTTGTTGTGTATTATGGGATGGTTATGTTCAGTTTAGGGCTGAATTTGACCAGGTTCTGTATGTTCTTGTAGTGGACAACTCTAACCATGACATATGGGAATGGGCTAAGGTGTAGCCCTTCAAATTTCAGGTGGTGAAAATGCTAAGCATCGGTGAATTCCTATGGTGGTTTAGCCTGATATAGATGCGTGCTTTGTATCTTGTCGTATGGATCAAAATTTGAAGGATTCCATATTTTATCACCACAATATCTCTACATTGAATCCTTGTTCTTCATTTTGTAAGTTTGGTTGGCTATCATTAGCAAACATTACAAAATGCGTGAAGAAAGCTGAAAAAGTTTACCCGTGTAACATTGAAGTAAATCGAAACTTGATCAAATAAAACTAATAATCTGTGAAATGTTTGGCTATTTCATTGTTATTATGAATTTATGATACTGCACTGATTTGGATAGTAATAGACTTTCAGTTATGGGAAGAACACGTTATATTGCAATTAGAAAAATATTAACTGATAATAATGTTGTGATAAAATAATGAACTCGGACTGGAATTGATCGATTCCAGTAGAAATTCGCACCATGCAGACAGCTTCAGAAAGTCAAGATTGGAGGACTTTTAAGTGTGTTTAGATGAAAGTTTGTCATTTGATTTTAAATGATTTTATAGAATTGATTTTGGTTGAAAGTGAGCTTGAAGTGAAATGATTTATATTTAAAAATTTATAATAAAATTCTTTCTTTACTCATGCAAATTTTATCTTTTCCTTGCTTCCTATCAGATTTGATTGTTGGGTTAAATTTTCATTGGAAATCCTAAGCTAACCTAAAACAATATGATGTTTATGCTAAAAGGATGGCTATCCAAACTAATCAACACTTAATTTTCTCTTTGATTTTGAAAATAAAAAACATAAATTAGCAAAAATTATCAAACCAAATTGATCACCCAATCTATTTTAATTAGTTTGAATTTTTTTCTTTATTGAGATTGAACTAAACCAATCGGGCAGACATGGACACCAAACCAAAGGACAAGAAAAATTTATCAATATGGGTTGACACAAGTGACAGGGATGCATCCAAGGAGGAGAGTGCGCCCCAGGCCCCCCTCCCCAAAATTTTTTGAAGTAATATAATTATGCATATCAATAAAATCAGTACAATTACTAGAAAATTAAATTTCTTATATTTGACTATGAGAAAGATTATAACTAATTTGTAATATATTTTTCTCAAAAGTCATTATTTTTTTAATAGTTACCTAAAGATACGTTTAGTATATATTAAGAACATAATTATATATTAAAGTATATTTTTTCCCCTCACTTGATTTACAGATCTACCTTGTCAAAGATTTGGAGGAAAACTCTTACCTTTTCCATAGGCATCAGGTTGAATCCTCTTAAAGTTATCTAAAATATAGCTTAATATACATCCTCATTTGAGAGAACTTAACACTCAAAGATTAGTGAAGTACTTATGACTAAATTAATGAAACTATTTACAATTTACAATAATCTTCTAAGTTGGGCTCTCTGAGTCTCCTAGAATGTCATTAGTGTGAAACTGAGTGGTATTGGGAGTGCTATTCCCCTCCTACCATTTGATTAAAGAAAGAAAAAAGATTAGAAAAATGGGAAACATGGGTTTATTGAATTAAACGTTGCAAAGTCACATTTTACAACAGCTAATAGCCAAGCCAAGCCCCGACTACTTTCGTGGACTAGCCAGCTGTGTCTACCTTTTCTGATTGTTCTTAGCCTTTTACTGGTTGGTGGCGCGTGATCACCTGAATTTCAGAGGATAAAATGCAAATTGCATAGAAAGTAATTCTGAACAACATTCAATGAGCAATTATGAAATATGTATGTAGTGAAAATGACATATTTACCTTCCAATTGATAAAAACATGAAATAAAACCACAACAAAATAGTTAGCTAGCTGCATCAAGCATTTACAAAACATTTAAAGCATTTTTCTAAGCTACATAGAAAAAATAAACGAAAATTCCAATCAAGAACAGTAGACAAATATGGATCAGAACAATGATTTAGAAAATGGAACTACAACAACTTAACACAACATAATCAAGATGCCAAGCAAGCTTCCCAGAATAGCCTGTTCTTTTCCACCTCATCCACAAACTCTTGGCCTGAATCAAAAGACACGTAAGATTTCATGTTTTCTTCATGCATCTCATCATCATCTTCACAACATGACACTCCAAAAACATCCTCTTTCTTCTCATCATCATCATCATCATGTTCATCCCAAGACACATACCCATCAAGATCAGCAGCATTACAAGCACCAGATCCATCGTAGCTACAAGATAGAGCATCATCATTATCATTACAAGCATCACCATCATCATCTCTGGCTATTTCACTACCCATGATGGGATCACAATCCACTTCAGAGTCACCAGAGGCTTCAAAGTGAATGCAAGAAGAAAAATCCACAGGCTCCTTCCTGTCCATCGACCTTGCAGTAACTAGTAATAAGGGAACTTTTTCCTTCTTCTTTTCTTTCTTAGTATCCGAGTTTGATGTGTAAGGATCCTATCCTATTCTACAACAACCACCACCACTGGTCTTGAATCTCACAGGCTACTCAAATAAGAAGAGAAAGTGGGGTCTCTTGTTTGACACTTTTGGTGACAGAGACTGGCCAAAATTGCAATCTTTGGCCTCACCCAAATGGGACTCGTCATTATTTAAAATGAGTTTGTGATGGTTTTCTAGAAGTATTAGAAACCTAACAAATGCATGCGGCGGGCAAAAAGCAATAGCAGCCAACATGGATTAGTACTCATGCTCTTCTAGAAGAAATGGTAGACTACACAATGATTTAACATCAAACCACCCTTATCTCTTAATCTTTATTATGTATAAAAGCTTATTTAAATTGGTTTTGGAGGAGATTAGGAGATAGAACCTATTATTCTAGCTGGTTTCTAATTTCTATTTGTTTGTTTTGTTTTGTCGTTGGTTGCGTACACACCACTAGAATATCAATGCGGCATAATATAATTTCAAAAATATATTCAGTATATTTTTAAAATATATCTAATATATTTTAATTAAACTGAAAAAAAAAATCATTTCATTCCATTTTGCTTTTTCCCGTGTTTTGCCATGTGGATTATAAAAATTTTAAACTTGCACATTCTTAACGTTTAATTCAGACATAAACTATCATCATTAAGGTAAAATTTAAGTGGCGATTTTGTCTGTAATTCAGATTAAATAATATACTTTTTAGATCTTGTTAAAGCAATTGTTCACATAACGATTCAACAAAAGAAGATCTTATGGCCAAATTCTAAGAAGTTAGCAAAATAAAAATTGCTTTAAACATGAAATAATAAACCTAACCATTTATCACTTTTTTTTTTGTTATCGTAATAAAAGCAAATATAGAAACTTTTTTTTATGAGCTTTTTTCTCAAAATTCAAAAAATATAGAATTTTTTGTAAAATTATAAAAATACGATTTTTAAAAAAAATTGTCATTGATGATGTTTGACTAAAAACTGCCAATGACAATTTTTAATGTATTTTTAAATATTTAATTATTTTATTAAAAATTATCATTGATAACTTTTAATTTTTTAATATTTTTTTAAAAAATTATCGTTGACAATTTTTGAAATTTTATCATTTTTTATTTTTAAATTTTAAATTTTTATACTGCAATAAAAAATGAAAATGAAAATTTTAAATTTTATATTCCTGTGATTTAAAAAAAAATATTTTTTAAATTAAAAAAGCCATATAAAAAAAAGTAACCAACAAATATATTTTTAGAATATGTGTATATAAAAAGTTTAAAATAATTACATGACGTGTGCAACTTTAGGTAATTCCGTGTTGGGTATTGCGTATGTAAAGCAAGTTATGGACTGCACGAAAGGTATGGCAGCAGTAGAAAAATCTTTGGATCTTTTAAAGTTTTGAGGCTTTTGACTTGTTTCTATGTCAGTCCATCATTGAAATCTAGAATCCAACTCAACCAAGGAAAGCCGAAAGCATAAAGACAAAGGTACAACACCAAGTAATCAACCCACAGCCACATTATGCCTTTGTTTTGACCTGTGATGGACAAGTTATTTAGAAAAAATGAGAAACAGAAGAAGAAAGAAATGGAAAGAAGCAGGAGAGAAAATAATAATAAAATTAGTAAATTTTTGCAAAGATAGTTATGTCCTTATGTTGGAAATGATAATGTTTTGTCACTAATGTTTTTTCCTTTCTCTTCATTTTTTTCAATGAAATGGAATGCCATTTAATAATGAAATAATAATATTAGCTTTTATGATTGATTTTGATTACTTAAAATGATAAAATTTTATTAAAATATATCCATTATATTTAATATACTAAATAATGTTTTATATAAAGCTTATATTTTTTTTAAATATCAAAAAACAACCTTAAAAAATTATCTAATCAAAACCATTTTTCATATACGTGCCCATCATTACATTTGTTTTTCTTCTCATGCTTTTTTTTTTAGCTATATATAGTTTGTTTACAAATCACTTGTCGAAAAAATATTCCCTTCACGTGTTTTTTTTAAATGTATAGTATTGTGGAGAAATTTGCCACCTTAGAACTTTCTCATGTGCGTTTTACACGTGGGATTTTGGCTCAATTTTTCATGCATCTACCACATGATAACATCTTCACTTTGAAAAAACACAGTTAATTTTTTTATATTTTAATTTATATATGATTTTAGCCTTTTCAATTTTAATTATTTATATTATTTTGAATATTTTTTAAAAATTTTGTTAAATGATTAATAAACATATAATAATGGTTTATATATTTTTTATTTTTATTTTAAACATATAATAACAAATTTTTATTTTTATTTTTATTAAATTATAAAAATTAACAATGTATCACAATTTTATTATATTTTTTATATTGTGAACTATTTAATGAAATTTTAATATGCCAAGAGTTAATTTACATAATTGAAAGATTAAAAATTTAAATATAAATGGTTAAATTAGAGAGAATAAAATTATATATAATTAAAGTATGAAAATAAAAATTAAAATAAAGTTTTTCAAAAATATCAATTTCAATTCTTAAGATTAATTTTAAACAACTAAAATAATTTAATTTTAAAACATCTTTATTGTATTAAACAGAAAAATAAATATTATATTTTTATTGAAATAATTTATTATTTTTAAATACTGAAAATCAATTTTTTAAAATTAGGATTAATAATTATTTTTATTTCCGAAAAAGACACGTTCGTCTTTGTCTATTTTCGCTGAATCCGTAATGCAGCACGTTTGAAACATGGATGAGCCCATCGAATTGTGTGTGGAAAAAGTTTTCAACGCCAAATTTCAAATATCCTATACATTATTTATTTAGTTATTTATCTTTACATATATATATATATATATATATATATATATATATATATATATCTTAACGATATTTTACAAAATTTTAAAAACTAAAAAAATATTGTTCTAAAGTTACTCATGAAGAAAAAGTCGATTGTCAAAAGACAACTAAAACTTGGAAAACCAAAAATAAAAAATCTTAAAGTGTTCTTAAGAAGATAAAAACAAAAATTTATTGAATAATAAAAATACAAAATCATTTCATCTTTGTTTTATTTAGTTAAAATTAAATATTTTTATGAAAATTAATGAATATATTTTTATTGAAAACATCACTCATATTAATGAGTATTTTAATGATACTGATTTAATGGATATATTTTATTAAAAAATTAAAAGTGAAATTTTTTTATTAAAAACATATTATGTTAAAAATACAAAAAATTGATAAACAATTACTATTTTTATATACTTAAATTTAACTATAGGGATGCCCGAGGCATTACAAAATCAATAATAATAATAATAATAACGACTTTATTAGAACTTTAGTCTTTTTTAATTTGGCATAGGTATGATTTGGGTATCTTTAATTTTTTTACTTTTCAAGTGAGACAGGTGTATTTACTTTTAAAATTATCCAAATTTAGTCTTTTAGCTGATTTTCATCTACTTAAAACTTTAGTCTTTTTCTTCATGAGTAACTTTAGAACAATATTTTTCAGTTTTTATACATTTTATTCTCTGATGAAGAAAAAGAATAAAAACTAAAAACTCTTTTCAAAATAGAAAACAAACATCCTCTTAATTTTTCATTTCTTTTACTCAATTTTAATTAATTAAAACAGTCAAATTATTTTAAATAGTTTCCCTCAAAATGTATCAATCTTAACGTCAAATTTCTTTGATCTTAAAAGAATATTTAAATCCTGTAAAAATTTTATTTAATTTTTTATTTTAAAAATTTAAAATTATTTCTTACAATAAACTTAACATAATCTCCTCAAATATTTAGATACAAAATATAATTAGAGGAATTTAAGTAGAATAAAATCAATAAAAAGATAAAACTTGTATTTTTTTTTAAAGAGACATAATTAATTTTAAAAAAATGAAGTAAAATCACACAGAAATCAAACTAAAAAGATAAAAAAAAAATTCTAATAAAATATACCAATTCTAAAACCTTGCCACCAGCTAGTCACTTTGAAAAGAAACTGAAATAAACTAAGCGTAACGCTCAAACTTACATTTGGTTGGTGTCTACGAGACCCAGAATAATAATGATCCTCTCACCCCATATGATACCAATAAGCTTATAATACAATCAATAGGCGTTCTGAGGGAAAAATCAATAAATTAATAATCAATGTCTTAATGAATCTTCATGTTACAGAAAATTACAAATTGTGTTATCATCAGATGGGTTATATGAATTACAATGAGATTTATACAACTTTTTATTCTCTATCATCATCAGTGAAGCTTACTCTGTTTGTTATCCCTCTTAAGCTGAACCTTTAATTTCTTACCACCTAATTGGCAACCATTCATCACACTAATGGCAGCTTGAGCAGCTTCTGCAGTATCATAACTAACAAACCCTGCAAACTAAAGCTAATAAGACACTAGCTCCACATAAAACCCATCAAATTCATTACAAAACACTAGGCTTACCAAAACATTTGCTTACACCAGTAGCTTTATCAACAAAAATTTTAGCACTCAAAACTCTACCAAACGGTTGAAAAGCATTTGCAAGGTCTTGGTCTCCATACTCTTGTGGTATGTGATAAATAAAAAGATTTGCACCAGACGGTCCTAAGTCAGAGAAATTAAAATAATGAGCAGAATTTGAATTAACAAAAAAGCTAACATTTCCTTCTCTGAGAAACATATGGAAAAAGGTCTACTCCATATTTACAGATATGCATGCATTTTAATTATGAATATACAATACAGAATTGAAGATGTAGATAACCACCTTCAATTTGACCACTAGAATTTTTACTGGCACCTGAAGATGAAACTGAGTTGTTATTCCCGCCTGCAGGTGAAATAGAATCAGGAGAACTACACACAAGCCTCGGACTTATCATTCCTTCAGGGTATGCCATAGGATGCTGTATTTGTATACCTGGCACTGCAGGATAAGAACCAATGTAACTTGCATAAGGCACAGGATAATTCATATTGTGACCAAGATCAGGCCTCAATGCATTTCCTTGGTTCATGTGAGGCATTATATTATGGAAACCTGGTTGATTCTGCATCGGTGGAAAGCGGTATGGCATGAGCCTATAGCCCCCGGGAGCCTATTGCAAAAACATGATTGTTCAAACATATACCTCCATCAAGATATTAGGCATGAAAAATACCAAACATTGAATTATTCCATGAATGTAACAATTTCTAATACGATGACATGAGTATACTGAATTCCCTGAATTAGTAGGGAAAATGCTGTTAAGTATTCTCATAGTGCATCACAATAGAACCAACCTGATAACCATATCCGTTATATGGAGGAACATAACCCATTGGTAAGGCTCCAAATAATGAGGGATGCTGACAATCAACATGTGACACAGTAGAAACTTGAGATTCTGCTTTCTGAGCCCTTCGAACTTGTCTTTCCTTTTCAGTATCCGCCCATTTAACCACCAAAGGAACACTTGAACCCTATAGAAGAAAAATAACTATCAAATTGCAATTGTTTGAATTCACATAGTTGTTGAGTAAGCATTAAGTTGTGTTAACATACTAAAAAAATAGGTGACAGGAAGTATAGTATTTCCTTAGTCAACTTACTGAAATGTTAGTCGCTGAGGAAATGTAAATTATAAATAAAGCCTATTCCTATTGGTTCTGAATGAATGAGATGCTTGTGTAACTCCACTAAGACACATTATATATGTTGATTGACTTTGTGCACGAGGGTTTATGTGTAACAATCCCATGTTTGAGTTATATTCAGCTTGCACTCATTTAATGCAAACAAATAATAAGCCTCATAAACCAGAGCTTGAGTTTTCCTTTCCAAGATTGGATCCAGTTCAAGCCTGTCATATAAAAATTGAGTCAATCTTAAGCCTGGAATATTATCTTACACAAACCAATTTGGGGCACTTTTTTATTTTATTTTATAAAATTGCAGAGCACGTAATCAATTCTAGATTTCCAAATCAAGAGGAGTAAAAATTAAAATAATAACTAAGTATTTGTGCCCCTACAATGAAATCTGAGACACATGATCAAAATGTTCACGTCCCTCACCGACAGGATTTTGTGGCTGAAAGCTGCTTGAAGGTCCAAAGTGCTGCAAACACCATTTACAATTGTAATCGAGTTTAAAAGCTCTTTTCCATTCCACCACACTATAAGAACCAAAAAAATGATACTGAATCCAAGCCAGCTATAATGAGTATGAATGATTAATAATGCCCAATCCATTAAATTGAATATCACTCCGTGCTAATTTACAGTTTAGTCAACTGTATGAGCAAAATTGCAAACAGTGCCTCCAAATTGGAAAGTAATATCAATTGGCTGACAATACAGTGGCAATTTGCAAGATATACATTAAAGCAAACTCTCTCATTTCCTGCTTATCTATTAATATAGTAATCGATGGAATTTTTCGACGCATTCATAATATTGTACCCTGGTTCCCCTAGCACTAATAACCAAATAAATCGTTTACAGTCAAATATTCAGGTGATGGTTTTAACAAACACCAACCTCCATTATATGCTTTCCATTGATTTCCCCAAGAGCAGCAACGGCCTGTTCTTTGGTTTCATACTTCAAAAAAGCACATCCTACACAAAGAAATATAGCTACGAATGAGGTTTTGCCACTAAGAAGCACCAAAGCCCAAAAGGAATAAAGGATAGCTTCAATGGTAATATTAGGACCTTTACTTGTTTGTTGAGAACCTCTTAAAATCTGTAAATCCTTTATGGTTCCATACTTTGAGAAAAGATTAGAGACTTCAACTTCAGAAATATTCTTTGGAAGCATGCCAATAAAGAGTTTGTGTTCTGGACACCCAAAGACAACAAAATATTATTTATGAAGGAATACTGCATATTTTCTAAGGTATAAAGAGAAACTTCTCATTCATTAAATACTGCATAACAAAGGAGTTTTAGTATATGAATGAATCTCAGAATTTATCAGCTGAACAAAATATTTAATTACAACAATGAAGATATATTACACCTAATCTTTCCAACTCGCCATCTGCATACTTCACTTGCAACGGACTAGAGGCCTGAATTGGACACACACAAAAATTATGCTTCCCAATCAGAATGAGAATTGTACTATCATAACATCATAGTTATCATGCAATGTAAAAAATTAAAATAAAGTATTTATTGCACATTTTTATTTTCAATGTAATAAATATTTTTTTAATAAAAAATGTTATTTTCAAATTAAATTTAATACTTAGAACTGGAACTAACAAAGGAGATAATCATATTAGGTGTTTAGTTAAGCATTAATAGTAGGTGTAGGAGGCTTGCTAAATAACAAATATACCCATTAAAGGCTAGATACAAATCACTAAGAATAGAGCCATGTTGTTGGCAAACGAAGAAATGGAAGTCAGCATCAGCGACTTTCATAGCAGTGGTCATTAATTCCACACTATCATTCATCAAAGCCCATGCCCTCATTTGAATATTGTCAAAAGTAAACAACAACAATAAAAAGAGGGAAAAAGCACCCCAGGAAGCGTTTTCTTGTTGTGACAGGCATTGACCGCCTTATCCGCCTCTTCCTTGGAGGGACAGATTAGAAAGCAACAACCTGCGACGAAACAGAGTCAAATCCGAAGAATGTTGTTACGAACATTTGAATTTGAATGTTTCTAGTTACCTCGGGAGGCACGAGTGGCTTTGTCTCTGATGATGTTGACCTGCTCAACCAATGCCAAGTCCTTGAACATTTCGAGCACTTCATCTTCCGTCATGTTCTTAGGCACTTGGCCAACGAACAGTTTGACACTATCCTGGCTAGATTTACTCTCTTCCTTTCCTTCCGCCATTAATAACCAATTGTGTGCGTGTGCGTTTGATTGGTTTTGAAATTGGAATCAGAAACTTAACTTGGTTGTGATAATTATTAATTAATGGATGATATTTTACCAATATACCACCACGTACAGCTTTTATCGTGCCAGTGCCAGTGCCGTAGTGTAGTGGGTGATGCTTGCTATTGCTGAATGGTGAGGTGGGTGCATTTCATTCTTCATTCTTCCCTCTCACTCAAGTTTCTAATCCTAATCAAATATAAAGAAATTGAGAGTTACATGATTTAACATCATTGGAATTCATAATCACATTTTTAAACTTAAAACAACTATTATTAGTTGATTCACTGTATTTAAACTCAAATCATAAATTAAACTAAAATAATTCTAATTTGTTCAGTAGTGTTTATAACACGTTTTTAAATTTGAATTACTTAATCTTTAAAAAAATATATGAACAATATTTACAAATTTAAAGAATTAGAGTGAAAAACTTACACTCTTAAATATTAATGTGTTTATCGTTAAGTTTTTTAAAAATGACTTTAGGCACTATATATATATATCTACATTAGAACTTAGACATGTTTTAATTTTTAGAAAATGCTAAAAATTTGTTTTAAGTCTCTTAAAAGCTTTTTTTTTTAATCTGAAATTAGTTCTTAATTGATCACAATTTTGAAATTGATTCCTGTCACGTAACTTCCTTTTATTTTTGGACGATGATGTTTGTTTTAACAATGTTAATGTCTTATTAATCTCAAGTGACAGGATGTGATATTTTTGTATTTTGCTAATATTCATGTATTTAACAATGTTAAAGGTGACTCAAAAATTCCCATTTGAATTTCCCATTTTCGTGAACTTAATATTCATATTAATACTTAAATTTAGCTTCAAACGCGATGCATATGGTATTGTTGAAGTCAAATGAAGTCTGAACTCTTAAGCAAACTATATTTCTGATTCCTTAACGTTGTCACTTTTTATTGTAAGTCAAATTTCATTTGTGCGTATTTAATAAAAAAAATTCCTTTCAAATTTATATAATATAAATTCCAATAATATTGAAGTAATTATATATAATTTATAATCTAAAAATTCACTCATATAATTTTGTGTTAGTATTACATCATACTTGAATAATTTTTAATAGTCGACCAAAGAGAAAAGAATATTCTTTAGTTGACGTGAGATAGAATTGCATCATAATCTTCTTGTTTACAGTATAATCAAGAATTCAAAGCCCTTCAAAGCTGTTGACTTAAAAATATAATTTTTCGTAATATTAAATAAGCATTGTATAACAGTGTGTTGTGTATAGACACAAAATGAAAAATAGAGCAAAAAAAGCTATGTTATGACTTAGTTGTATTTGTGTTATTCTATTAGTGTCGTCTCTCTCAACGTACATTTAAACGCATAACTTGTAACTTATTTGATGTGTATGCAGTATGCGTAAATGCTTTTGGAAAGAGAAGATTTTGTAATGGTAATTGGGAGGAGGTTAGACACAACATCATTATTCAGATTATATTAGACGCAACATAAGGCATCATTATCATTACTCATTAGAAGAAACTACGTAGACGGAATTTGTGAGGCATAGGCATTATTTTAACTTGAGAGGAACTAAGACGCAACACCATCATTACTAATCACTACGGCCTAAACCAGACTATAGAAAGAAGCTTCCTAAAAATCAAAATGAGTGGTTGCACACAAAATTCCAAACAGGAATATCTGTCAAATTATAGAGCATTAAACCACTAGTCTGTACCTTTACACAATTTCTCCAAAAATGTACTAACTCTGCCAAAAATCCCAGCAATTTAGAAAGCTCTTTAACCTTGAATACAAAACAAGAACCGGAAAGATAAGGTAGCACTATCTGAGAGATGAGAAAAATCATTTTCGCATCAAAATCACCATAAAAAACAATCAATACCCTTTTGCCAATACAGTGCTCCGGTAAGAGAACAGGAGTTGGAAGAACAACCATCCTGGATCTCTAACTGGTCATGACCACACTGCAGTGGTAAATGGAAAACAATGAGAAAAAAGGCATGACAACCACATAATATTGTTGAAGCTCTTGTTATTGTTTGCATATTTGCGAGTCAAAAAAGGTGACCTTGTTCTCCAGGGAATGCACCTTGAATCATCGGTGCAATTAATGAGAATAATTATCTAAAAGAATTCCCCAACACGGGAGTGAATTGTTTGTAGAAGGGGTAGTTCTTCGGCAGTTCAGGAATCATTAGGGTTAGTTTGGTCTGGGAACTAGCCCAGTGGACACTCCTGTCACTAGATTGCCTTCAATCCAGCAAGTTTCCTTAGCTCCTCACATAATATAAATGTAATTGTGGTTTGTGGCCCTAATCTTGCAAATATTGCAAAACCCCTGACAAAAGGTAAAGCATTAACAAACTAATATACGAACGAAGTTATGCATGCTTCCTACCCCTAAGAAAATATAAGCAGGTTGAGTTCTTATGTGCTTCTAATACCTCTTCTTCACGCCGAGACAGAAAAAAGTGAGTCATAAAGACAGTAGTTGTGATTTGTGATAACTTTCACAAAGTCATTCATTATAAAAGTTTTGAGATCATGTAAAACAAACAAGTTCCATGCAAGAATTCTGAACAAAATAAACTCACCCTTTGTAAAGTGCCATTGGGCCCTCTGTAAGCAGAACCTGAAACCACATTGAGAAATGCATTAAATAACAAAGGGAATTTATAGTGAATTCAGACATGAAAATGCATCATTCTATTCATAGTTGGGGTATATGAAAGTCATTCCATTATTATTATTATAAACTATTAAATTGAATAATTTCATCCTACTTTAATTCTTTGAACCCATTTAGAGAAGCGGGAAAGAGAGAAACGATTTAGGGCTTTTTTTTTGTTGGTAACAACTTCAACACACTTTCTTTCGCTCTTTCTTGAACAATGATCTTTACTATAGACAAAAGAAGTAGTCTAAGAATTTTCTAAACCAAAATACAATGCAATCATTATTCTTGGACCTTTTGGTTATTATTATAGAAAAGCTGCTAGCACATACTTAAACTGTGTTTGTTTCTCCGTTCAAAATTCCATTTTTTCTACAGAAAAAATATTTTGCTTTGAGAGAATGTACCTAGTAACATGTGTTCCTGTGCTGAGAAATGTGTAACCTCTGTTTGAAAAACAAACAGGAACTTATCCTCGCAAAAACAAGAATCAGGAAAGCCAAACCATACTCAAGGAATGCATGAATGCAGCGTAGAACTTGTAGTCAAAGTGCCAAGTTATCAATTAAATTCAACCTTTCAAAGTAAGATAAATTCAATCTATCAAAGATTTTACAGGATTCCATTATGCTTCAAAAAAATCCTTGTTAAGAAGAGTTTAATGAAGGCCACATAATCAAATTACAACCGCAGAGTAAATCTCACAGGAACACAATTAATACAAGACTTAATATAGATAACTATATGAATGAATTGATTTAAAGATCTATTGCTTTAAATATTTCCAAACTCCAACTATTTTTGATGTATAAGTATGACCTCCACTGAGAATTATTTTCTTTTCTTTCTTTCCTTTTATTAGCACCACTAAGGAAATGGTTAAAAAATCTTGTTTCCCAAATCCCTTCAGTCTATTACAGCTGGCACTTGAATGCTAAGGAGTTGATTTGCAGATCACTTGTATATTAAGCCATGCCCCATTTTAGGCCAAAAATGAGCTATGTCCTTCAAACCCTCCAACAATCAAGTAGTCATCATCATGACATTAAAATGCCTTTTTCCTTAACATTGTTACAGGATTAAGCCAAAAGTTTGTGAAGTTTTGAACAATGATGAATAAATCTCTAATTCTATTTGGCAATAACAGAATCATGTCTACGAAGAAGCAAAAAAGTAGTACAAATGAAAAATTAGAAAAGAAAGTTGAGAAAACAACATTAATACCTCGTATGCACAGTGAAATCCGCCTCTATAGATTCTAGCTCCCTTGGATTCTCGTTGCAACATGAGACGTGTTTTAACCATATCTATGGGTGCAGTTATGAGAGTGCTCATTATGCCAGCAATTGTGCTTGCGCTATATAAGGTACAAACTACAATTAGTTCAGTTAGGTCAGACAATGGAAAATGATTTTGACAATGAAATAATGATAAAATGTGAAGGCATGAGCTTGAATTAATCCAGAGTTGTTTGGTGTGTAATCCAGAAAAAAAAAATTGTTTCAGCTGAGCAGATGAATAAAACAGAATAGAAAACTTTTATAAGATATTTAATTCAGTTTCATTACACAATAAAATCAATTCTAAAGCATATTATTATTTGATTTGTTCATATTAAAAATTTAAATTTCGAGTTCAAGTGTCTTCAGACTATTTTAGAGCTGCCATCCGTGATTTTGGCCAATCTTCAGGCTATAGCCAAATTCCATTTACTTTGATTCAGTTTGCATCACAGAAGATGTGAAGAAGAAATAAAATTGGCAGCAGTGCCATACATCAGATGTAGATGAAATCCTTCTTTCAGAGATGTCCAGCTCACTAAAATCTGCATAAGGAGAAAATAAAACAAATGATAAGAAAGTATTAATAGGATTAACAGTGAAGACAAAATAAATAAGGGAGAAGAGAAACAGAAAAACTCTTTAAAAGTTGACCTGCTTGGTTTCATCATATGTAGCCAGCTGGGATGCAGTCAAGGCAGCTGCTCTGGCCATGGCAGGGCCTACCCCCTTCCACAGAGCTTTGATTCCCTCTTCAGATACAGTCCTCTGAAGCTCTGAAATTGGTCTGGTCTTTCTCATGTCTGGATTCATTTGTAATCGCACCTGATTGTGGGAATATGATTTTGAAGATAAAAGGGAAAAAATATTCAAGTAGTACTAAAAGATATGATAACTCACCTTGAGAACTTCCATTGGGTTGGTCAGTGCAGTCGAAATAGCACCAGCAAACATTCCCGAAGCAATTTTAACTAAAACACTGGAGGAGCCAAAAGCAAGATCACAAGCATACTTAGAGGGTTCATACAAGCCCAAGCGGAGTCCTCCATAAACAACTGACCTTGTTAGTGCAGGGGTCAAACCCAAATACAAAGACTTTGGTCCTTCATTTTTCACCGTACTTAAAAGTAATTGTCCCTGAACAAATGTTTAATTGATAAATTTTTTGCACAATAATGTGATAACTAAGGTCTAAAGAGAAAAGGTTGTACTCAGCAAACTACCATTCCACTCAAAGGACCCTTCTGGCCAACAAGTTGCATTTGTAGCCTTACTTTCAATACATCTGCATGTGCATGGTAGGTAGGAACATGTTAAATAGGTATATTTAATGATTAGCTAAGTATAATATGCAGGCTCAGTCTCATGTAACCTTCACCAACTTAAAGATGGAATTTCCATTGCAGCTGCAAGCTTGATTTGTAACTTCTACAAATTTCCAATATGGTTGGTCACTAATGAAATATGGCTACTCAAATGAATAGAATAAACACCTAACTTAGTCCTCAAAATATATATGTGACATCACATTGTTTTTCATTTATAAATATATCAAATTGGTCCTCCAAAGATACAAAGGTGACGAGACTCATTCAACAACCAACTAACACTTATCCAGTTTAGTTTATCAATATTATCACCACATGCTATCATAACACTTTTAACATACTGGAGTTTTTCTCTCCTATATAGCTCTTCTACAGTGAGGAGTTCCCATTAGAAGAAAAAAGTAGCAATTTCAACCATTGATGAGAAAATCAGAAAGCGGGTTCTAACAAATTCATAATTTGTAATGCATGTGCCAGAATTTTATCATAATACCAGCCATTGATTCTCAATTTTGTGATCTATATTTTGCTAACCTCCATACTGGTTTTTTACATTTTTTCTAAAACATGGATCTAGATTTTGGCAAGCTCAATACCAACCATTGATTCTCTCATGAACAGTTCAGATCCCTCACTTTTCCTCTTCCTAAAGTGAACTCCTATCAAACCCAACCTCTATATACAGTGTCACACTTTCAGTTAGTGAATACAAGTCAACTCACTCTCAAACTCTTTGGATATGCAAGGCATTGAAATTGTCGTTAAATGTCACACTTTTGCCATCAATTTGGTCCTTAAAATGAAATAAAATTGCCCATTGAAGGACAAAAGTAATGGTATCAATTAAGGACCAATCCAATGTCATTCATGACTTCATGTCTCGTATATTACTACTACCAAAAAAAGAGTTCTAAACTGATATAAAGTTCAAATTACAAGTATCCATAAAACAAAGCACAGCTTTATGATGAAAGGCAACAAGCATAGAACATTTTGAAGAAAAACTATTTAGGAAACCAAAATTAATACCCAAACAACCCTTAACAGAATAAAAGAAGAAATCCAAGTAATTAGGAGGGACACAGAGAGAAGCACCTAAAGGGTGAGTGATAGCAGTTGCAACTGCAACAGAAAGTCCACTTGTAGCAAAATGATTGAAAATAGTGGAAGAAGACGCAGCCCAGTTCTGCTTCTCATCATTTCCAGCTCCTGAGACGTTTTCTTCTCAATACTCAACATTCAAAATTACAACAAAATAAATCACGGGCACGCATATTTACCTTTAAAAACGTTGTCTTTTTTTCGAAAAATTCAACAACATTGAATGTCATGAAAATGGATTGAAGAAGTAGAAGCAAACGTAACCTGAAAGTGCCGAATTATTGGAAGTAGAATTTGAAGGCATATTGTAGCTTTTTCCTGGTTATCGTTGCTGTGGGGGGAAAACATCAACAAATCTTCGCTCTCTGATTGGTGATTTGAAACTGAGGAAACGGAAATGAGGGGAAGAAAATCACCTGCACCTTCGGCATCGGAGCAGAGTAGAAAGGAATAATAATTAAACAAATAGTCTAATAAATAAATATCAATTTGGTGCTTGAAAAAAATTAATAACTTGAAGATCAAATAATAAATATGTTAATTTTAATAATATTTAATTATTATCACTTAAAGATATAATAAAGTATGATTTAAAAATAAATTATAATTTAAATATAATTTTATTCATTGATAAATCCTAAATTCTAAACTCACTTTTACAACACTAGGCGATATTTAAATAGATAAAAGAAAAGGAATGTACATTCTTTTTAGTCACATTAATTCAATAATAACACATTTTTAGTGATTGAACTTATCTAATAATTAAAATAGTTTACACACTTTAATCTTTATATTGGTGAATGAATGCCGAATTATAAAAAATAACATACACAAAATAAAAATAAAAAATAAAAAATAAGGATGATGAAAGAAAAATATAAATAAAGTTAAGTATAACAACAAACAAATAACTATTATGATACTATAAACTTTATTTAAGCAAATGAAATTAAACTTTTAAACAAAAATAAAGAAAAACAAATTCAAATTAATAGTATTTATTTTTTAATGAACCGCATGTTAGTCATACAAATGTTGAAAAAATTAGTCTTTCAAATTTTTAAATAAACTTATTAATTTTCAATCACGTTAAATAATCTAACTAACAGTAAACCTTATTTATAACATATAAGATAAGAAAAAATTAATTGTTTTAAATTATTTTAAAAATATTTATAAAATTAAACAATTTTTTTAAAAATAAATAAATACATGAAAGTGTAAATAAATGAAAACTATTCTATTTCATTTAAAAAGATAATTAGATATTCAAATTTGTTACGTAAAAAAAGTAATATTATTTATTATAAAAAATAAGTACAATTTTTTTTTTATTTAATTTAATTTGAATCATCACGCACTTAAATATAGCGATAAATCTATCACTAAAATTATATATATATATATATATATATATATATATATTTATTTATTTATTTAAATACGAGACTTTGAATTTAAAATTTTACTCAAATTATACCTACTACTTGCTACTTAAATCAACTTAGGTAGATAAATAAATACAAATTTTAATGAAAGAAAAAATAACCAATAATATGAAGATAGTTGAATTTAATTAATGAAGAGTAATTATTTTGACCAATTAAAATATCACGTTTAAACATTTTTCAAATAAGATAATTTACGACCAAATAATAACAATCAAATGAAACAAATGAAGAGTTAGCTCCTGGTAATGATATCCAGAGAGTTCGACAGTTTGGGCGCAGCGTTGATGCTATAATCCACTCCTTCCACTTTTCACTCCCTTTCATTCCTCAAATCAAGCTCTAGGTTTTCTCATCGTTCATTCCTCTTTTCAATTTTTAGGGTTTTAACTTTCTCTCCTTTTCAAGTTTTCATAATTTGCTCCATTGTTAGGGTTTTTGGCTGAAGCCTTCCACATTGAAACAAAATGCCTCGGTACAGTAACTTCGTCATTGAACAACTCGCGATAGCTTTGCATTTCAGTTTTCATTGAATTCATGGTATTCAATTCCTTTTGTTCGATTTTGTATTGCAGGTACTACTGTGACTACTGCGATACCTATTTGACCCACGATTCTGTAAGTTGTTTCCCTCACTGATTGCGTTTCCCTTTTCACTTCGAGTTAGTCAGGAAATAGCTTATTTATTCAGTCGGTGATAGCCAGTGAAAAAGATTAATTCTTCTGATTTTTTCGTTTTCTCATTTTTCCTATCTGGCAGTGGTAAGGTACAATTGCAAACTTTATTTGAACTGTTTTCCTTATTATGCGTGATTCTAACGTGTAGTAGAGTTTTGGCTTAATTGCATTCTTGGTTCTCATATTTCACCTAAAGTTCCTTAATCGTCATTTTCTACTGAAATAATAGGTGGCTTGCAACTGATTTGGGATAGGAAGTGGGTTTTGAAGAGGGAGAAAGTTTGGGATTTTCTAATTTTGGTGGAAGTCTAATGTTTTCATTGGTGAGTTTTGAGCGTAAGAGAGTTTAAAACTGTTTAATCAGTTCAGTTTGCTGAGATTTTGAGTAGGAAAATGGTATTTTAAGGTTTTGAGTAGAGGAAAAGTGATGGAAGGATTTTATGTGGCAATTAAAAAAAATCGGGGGATTAAATTTGCGTGAAACATATTTGTGGACCAAAATTGCACAGTAGCATAATTAAGCTTACAGTGTCCATGAAAGTTAGTTAGTCACATATGAACATCAATATGTTGCTAACTTTGTTTGTGTCATATTGCAGCCATCTGTTAGAAAGCAGCATAATGCAGGTTACAAACACAAGGTATTGTGCAATTTTCTCACTTCTTAAAGTAAGTACACTGCAATCGGTACCATATTCATGACATTTAATATCTGCTCATTCCTTCAGGCTAATGTGAGGTCCTACTACCAGCAATTTGAAGAACAACAAACCCAAAGTTTAATTGATCAAAGGATCAAAGAACATCTCGGGCAAACTGCAGCGTTTCAGCAGGTTGGTGTGGCTTATAATCATATGATGGTTCAGAGGCCTACCCTTCCGCCTGTATTGCCACCACCAAGATTGCCTATTCCTGGTAATGCACAAGTACCTGGAAGTCAACCACTAATGCCAGGGATCAGACCTGTCCTGCCTAGACCTGTTCCTGGTAATTTGTTCTCACCTATTCCTTACATAACTTCCATAAAATTGCCATCTCTTCTGATTGAAACACTCACTTTGGCTTGGGATACCATTCATGTCTTCGGTTTTTACATGCAGACATCTGTGGTTCTTTTCTATGTTATTTTAACAATGACTCTCGACTTGCATATCCTAATCTAATTATTTTTGGTTTCTGCAATTGCCTTGTTATTTAAATTTCCTTTTTAATAAGTGGTTTTCAACTGGAGTTTACAGGATATGTTTCTGCGCCTACCATGCCTCCAATGGTACCTCCACCTGGTGCTCCCCAGATACCAGGTCAGTTAAATACCATACCAAGGCCACCTTCATTAGCTCCCCCTCCAACAGTTCCAGGAAGTGCTGCTGCACCAGCTTCTAATGGTGCTCCCTCTATGGTATCATCAGCAATGTATCAAGCCAATCCACCTGCACCATCATCTGGAGCTTATGATAATTACAATGCCAATGCTCAAGCACCTGAGGGCAATCACTGATCTGATCGAACTGGTATGTTATTTTATATTGATTACTGGATTTACATTGATGCAATACTTTTTCAATAAAATTTAATTGATATTTCTTTCGTTTTTTTAATCGGACATCAGGAGAAGGCATAGTACTTGCAGGGATTCAATAATTCATCCAATTCTACTAATCTACATTCTTTTCCTATTTTATTTATTTGTGTTATGCAGTTCTCTCTGAACAGTCCTACCTCTGTCGGACCACAACTATCTGTGCTCTCCCTGCTTGCTGTGACTCTTCATTTTCCGTTTGTAGTCATATTTGGAGCTATCTTAAACTCGATTATTGTATGTAGCATGTCAAGCAGCTTGAATGCGGCAAAAAGTTTTTTGAGTTACATTTTTTGTCTTGGATGAAGATTTATATTGAAGTGCTAATTGGTTAAAGTTTTATGACATGAGTTGTTGATAGTTTCTATTCAGCAACTAATTTATTTTAATATGAAATTTATCAGTATAAGCGTAGTTGTACTGCAAGATTGAGAAAGAATTCATATGAAGTGTTATTGGCTCTGAAATTAGTAAAAGAATTCCATGTTGAGTTGAATCACTTAGTTGTTTTTTTTTTTTTTCTGAAATGTATGAGTTCACAGTGCATTTGTCACTTGCAAGTGCCTTCGTTACAAATTAAATTTTAGTAAAATTTTGAAAGTTTACAAATCATTCTTTAAAAAAACAAAAAAATTAAGATAAGTAATCTTTCTTTCTAACAGTTTCAAAGTTGAAACATTGTATGCATGAATGTTAATATTTTTATTTTTTTAATTTTTTAAAAAATAAAATATTGATGTAGAATCGTGACGTTGAAAGTTAAAAGTAAGATATAGGAGAGAGATTGAGATTAAGGAAGGGAGAAATTTTTTTTAAAAAAAAAAACTTTCAATGAGACTGAAAAAGTGGTCTAACAAATTTTTATCAAAATGTTGAAAAATAAATTAATATACTATATTTTATGCATTAGTTTAAATAAATTTTTATTTATATAATAAAATTTTTATACAGGGGAGTAATAGATGGACATTTAGTTTAGTGGTACGATTATTGCTTATGATGTGCTCCAGAGGTTCAACTGGTTCCGAATTTAATTCTTTAAATGACCTGCATCACTTTGGTTAAAAAAAAGAGACAAAAACTGCTTTCGAGTTTAATTCTTTAAATGCCTTTTGTCATTACTTTGATAAAAAAAAAAATATTATTCCTAGTTTGTTTGGAAAAGAATAAAGATTATTCTCTTCATGAAATTGATGACTTTAAAAGTTATTATCAGTTTGTTTGGGAAAGAATAAAGATTATTCTCTTCGTGAAATTGATGACTTTAAAAGTTATTATTGATAATGATCATATTTTAAACAAATATAAATTTAATTTTTTATTTTAATTATGCCAAATATGATAAAAACATGTGAAAAAATTTATTATCATAAATAAAAGTCGTCGCAATCAACACTTTAATATAAAATATGAGAAAACAATTTATATGAAGAAAATAACAGATTTTGTTGTAGGATAATAAAAAAAAAATTTGTGATTCAAATATTATCAATATCTTTTTTTAACCATATCAAATGTAGTAAAAATACATGAAAAATAAATTTTATTATCGTAAACAAAAATTGTTGTTTACATTACACAAAATAATTGTATCACGTAGAGGAACAATTTTTGTATATTTATTATCTTGTTGTAATCAAAAGTATTAGCAATTAGCACTTCAATATAAAATATAAAATACGTGAAAATAATTTATACGATAATGAAATTTTTTTTGTTTATAATAGTTTTTGTTTTACGATGATAAAATTTTTTGTGATGCAAATATTATCAATCTCTTATTTTAACTCTATCAAATATGGTAAAAACACATGAGAAAAATATTTAAAAATATAAACTAAAGATATACAAACAAAGATCAGTCTCAAACTAAAAAAGCAGAAAAATTAAGTTAGACACAGTTAGTTACAAGTTTTTTTTTCACGTATTTTTACTATATTTGACATGGACGTATTTTTACTATATTTGACATGGTTAAGATAAGACAAAAAGATGAGAGAATATATTAGGTTGGATACTCGTTAGTTACAACGGCTTTTTTTTTTTTTCACATATTATTACCATATTTGACATGGTTAAAATAAGATATTGATAATAAACAGAAAAATTAGAGAATATAGTACACGTTTAAATTTATATTTTAATTATTATATATTTTTTAAATAATGCTATTAGTTAAATTTTTTAGAAATAATTATATTTTTTAGAAATTAATATTGTTTTATATTTTTAGTAAAAATTTAAAGAGAAATAAGAATAAAAAATGTGATAAGCAATGAAATATTGGTACTGATAAATAGTGAGAAAAAAATTATGAAAGTAGTAAAAAAGAAAAAAGAAATAAAATAAAGATATTGAGATGTAAATATCATAGTATTAAAATATTTAGAAAATGTAGCAGAAACCATAATATTAAATAAATAAATAAAAAGTAAAAAATAAAATAAAATTACTTTTCCTTCTCTGATTATATAATCATTTACTCACTCCTTCCCTTTCCTGTAACTCACTTGGCTGCATTCTTAAGCTTAAAAGTTTCCTCTCTCTCTTTCTATGTACATGAATATCAGTTCGATAACTTGCATTTACTTTAGTTTATGTTGAATGATTTTAAGTTTTTTGAGAGGTATTTCTTGTTGCAACATCAAGTCTATGTATGTCTTGTAGATTTGGTTATTTCCTAATTTATTTTAACATGCTGGTTTGTCTCTCTTCAATAATAGTTTAGTAACTTGTAAAATAATAATAATAATAATAAAAGATAAAGCATTTGCATTAAGATGCGAATGCTGATTTTTTTTGTTATTATCTTGTTGTTCGCAATCGACAAGAAAAATGTAGGGTATGATAATTTTGCTTTCGTGTATGATTCTATTAGTATTGCATTTTCTAGCTTACCTTTGCTAAGGAAAGATTTGGTAAATAGGATATATTGTTCAAGTTACAAATTATTATGTGAATAGGAGCCAATGTAGTCATTGTTGCTAATATATTCAGATATCGGTGGGTTCCATAATTCCTTCTATTTTAATTGATTGATTAGAGAATTGAATTTGAAAGCCGAGATTATGTCTTACATAATTTATGAAGAAAATTAGTTGTTATAGTTGTAGATGTAAAATTTCTCTTAATTGTTCTTCTTGTGAATTAATAATGATTATTCTGTTGGCTGTTAGTAAAACCTTTACTCATCTTTTTGTTACTGTGTGTCCTAGACTCTATTTCTCTTGAGAATAGATTATCCTTGTCCTAGACTCTGTTTCTCTTGAGAATAGATTATCCTTGTCTCAGTAGCAATTCTTGTTTGCGTTCCTATTTCCATGGTTTTACTCTGCAGAAGTTGCTGTTGCAGGTGAGACAGCTGCTTCATTTCCAAGTGAGCCAATGGATATCATGACTTCTAATTTCATTTAATCCAACCTTCAAACTGCTGAGTTTTATAAGATTTTATTGTGTTAATTGTGGTGGGCCAGTTGTGCAAGATCGATTCAGAAGGAAAAGTAACGGTTGCTCCTGTGTGATTGTCAAGGTATGAAATAAAAATGGTTATTAATAGTTTTTTTTCCCTTCTTTATCAGTACTGAAACTGTTGGCTTCTTGGATGATTTCGGGAGGAACATGAAGCCTATAATGTTCTGCAGTGAAATCTAATTGATTTTCAAGTTGCATAGATTTTGTGCTTGACTTTTCATTTGAAGGTTATTTCATTTGAGTATTTACATGTGGTTTTGATTTTTTAATGACTATGCCGCATTCTCGAGGCTTTTTTTCTCAAAATATAGTAAATTTAAAAATAAATTATCAAAATAAAGTGTTTATAAAATATTTTATCGATTTAAGATGATTTTTGCTGCGTTTGAGTATTAACTCTTATATAGCTGATATTTTTTTTAATAATAAAATATTGAGTATAAGTTATATAAAAGTTGATATTCATTTTTTGATAATAAAAAATTAAGTGTTATCCGTATATATACTGACATTTATTTTTTATTATTAAAAAAATAATATTATAAATTAATCTGCAGCTTATTTCTATTCTTTGATTAACATTGTGCTAAAACTTCTTGGGTTGGATAATTGAATGTTATCTTTTTCTTCTCCACGACTAAATAGAAAAAAGTATCATAACCGATAGTTAAAGACTAAGAAAAAATAGAGATAGATTATAGCAATCAAACTATAAAAGAGAGTTCTATAAAGTGTTCTTTAGTTTGAAATTAAAGAGAAGAAAGATACCTAATTTTATTACTTATCAAAATATACGTGTAACGTTAAGTTAATCGTTTAATTCATAATATTATTTTTTTAATAATAAAAAATAAGTATCGATACATATACGAACAATATTTATTTATTTATTATTAAAAATGAGTGTTAGCTTTTATACAATTGATACTTAATATTTTATTATTAAAAAAATAAGTGTCTGTAACAAAAATTACTTTAGATTGAGAAAATGAGTGTCGATTTTTATATAACTAATATTTAATATTTTATTATTAAAAAAATAAGTGTCGGTGGCAAAAATCATCTTAAATAAAAAAAAATGTTTTATAAACACTCTATTTTAGTAATTTATTTTTAAATTTACTATATTTTAAGAAAAAAAAGCACATTATTGATGTTACTGTTATTCCTTTTTTTACTCTTTTATTTTTATATATTGCTGCCACTCTAATTTAAGTAGAAACCTTTGATTTAGTACGATATATCTGTTGCAAGTTAATCATTAAATTAAAAAAAATGTAAATGATTAGTAGGATTTGACTATTAAATTGGGATAATTGTAAGTTAATCACTTTATTTAAATAACAAAATTAACAGTTGTTATAAAATAATTTTTTAAATATATATTTATAAGTTTAGATTTGATAGTCTCAAAAATGAGTTGGTCAAGTGACGAATTTTGTTAACACGTGGATAGGGATAGAAACAAACCAGGGCAGACCAAGCTTTATTCTAAACAAGCCTGGCCGGTAACATAATTATTAAGCCTGAATTTGGCCTTATTACTTGTTAAAAGCTTTATTTTAGGCCTGGTCTGACTTGTTTCAGTGGCTTGACCTGGCCTGAAACCTGTTAAAAAAAATTAATATTAATAAAAATAAAATATTTTATTATTAAATTAGTTTATATATTTTTCTAATTTCTATCTATGTTCTTAATAATTATTAAATAATTATAATAATATTTATATAATTTTATAAATAATTTTTAAAATATTATTTAAGTATTAATTATAAATATTTTATATTAATAAATTTTATATTTATTTTTTTTTATTTTTTTAAATTATATAAATAGTAAATATTTTAGTTTTATTTTAGAAACATATTTTATTTATTTAAAGACATCTTATATTCAACAAATAAAGTTATAGTAAATACATAAAATTGATAAAAAAAATAACATTCACACAGTTTATTGAATCAATTAAAAGAAAATTATATGTTTTTTAAAAAATAAATTTAAACTTACTGCAATAT